CCGCCATGATGCCAACCGCAGGCCAAATAAAGCACCAGTAGTAACTAAAAGACCACCGACAAGATTTGGACCAAGGCCACCATTACCACAGCCACCACCACATTGAACATTGTTTGAGCTTTGTAATGATGATGAGTTATAAGATCTCATTGAAGCTGATTTTGAAATTGATGAAGTATTACCGAGTGATGAAATTGAAGCTAGTAATTTTAATAAAAAAAAATTAGTTTTAAAAAAACTTTAAATATTTGTATATTTTTTATATGTACCAAAGAGAGTCATTTTTGAGTTTGAATTAATATTTAGATTTAATGATTATTTAAAAAAAAAACCCTCAATTTATATTTTTTTTTAATATAAAAATAAAAAATAAAAAAAAATTTAAAAATTATTATAAGTTCTAAATATTAGAAAATAGTTAAGATATAATATATATAGTTAAAATATTTATTTTCCCATTTTAAATATTGAAATAATGATCGATTATATATAATCACACAAAATCATTTAACAATCTATTAGATTTTTTTTTTAATAAAAAAAAAAAAAAAGGGGTAAAATTAACACACACCCCAGTTAATATAAAAATATATGCATATACTGATAAAAAAATAACCTAATCTAAAATAACACAAATCTATAATACTTTTATATTATAAACTAATATTTGAACTGACTTGTGATTGTTTCGGTGATTTAAATTATTGTTTAATATATTTTAAGTTAAAATATTGTTTTTATTTGATTTTTTATTTGATTTTTTATTTGATTTTTAATCTAAAAATATAAAAAAAAAGTATAAATAAGAAATTAAATTTTTTATTTTTTCATTATATTATTAAAAATCAATTAATACAAAACTAAATTAAAAATGACACTTTTTGGTAAGTTATATTTTAATTTTATTAAAAAAATTACTTTTAGTTAATATTTAAGTATTGATTTTTTATTTTCTTTTAGCTTCAATTTCATCACTCGGTAATACTTCATCAATTTCAAAATCAGCTTCAATGAGATCTTATAACTCATCATCATTACAAAGCTCAAACAATGTTCAATGTGGTGGTGGCTGTGGTAATGGCGGCCTTGTTCCAAATCTTGTCGGTGGTCTTTTAGTTACTACTGGTGCTTTAGTTGGTACTGTTGTTGGCACTGTTGGCGGTCTTGTCAATGGTTTATTAGGTACTGGAAGTTGTGGTTGCAATTAAAATTGCTAACTATCTAACAATGTATTTAAAATAAAATCCATTTATTTATTTTTATAAAATTTAACATTTTTTATTTAATATTGGGTATTTGATTAGAAAATAAAGTTTTCTTTTGAGTTTTCTTTTTTTATTTAAACTTTATTATAATTAAATTTTGTAATTTATATAAAAATATATAAACATCTATATTAACTGAGATTTTAAAGTTTCCGAGATTTATTTATTCTATATATTGTTTTAAAAAATGCTAGTGGAATAATAAAAAATATAGATCAACATAGAGTTTTGATATCTTATAAAAGAAAAAAAGTAAATAATGAAAAAAGTTTTCAATTAAATAGTAATGTTATAAATTTATTATTTTTGTTATTTTGATACAAAAAAACCAAATTTTAAAAATTTAATTGCAACCACAGTTACCACCACCTAATAATGAACCAACAGTACCAACAACGACTGGAACTAATTGACCAGCAACACTACCAACAGTGCCAACAACATTGCCTAATAAAGCACCAACTGGAGCATTAACACCAACAGTTGCACCACCTTCACAACCACAACCACCAGCACTGCTGTTAGCACCTTGTTAACCTGATGCCCCCCCTAATGCTAAAATTGATCTTTTTGATCTTGAGCTGACGTTTCCGAATGAAGAGATAGCAGCTAAAATATTTAAAAATAAAATTTTAATTAATAGCTTTTTTTTATAGTTTATGTTTGTAATATTTACATAAGATTGACATTTTAATTTATTAGTTTTTGAATTGTTTGATTTGTTAATGAAATAAAAAAGAAAAAAAAACTTTTATTTATAGTGAAAAAAAAAACCAATTTTTTTTTTTTTAATTAAACCAATAAAATTAAATAATTTTTCTAAATAATAGATTGTTCTCCATGGTATCCCAAAACCACTTTGTAAAAAAATCAAGTACATCTAAAAGAGCCAAATAGATTTAGTATTACTACATTTCACAGATTATATTAAAAAAATTATTTAGAAAACTCAAATTTAAAGTAAATGAAAAAAAAATTAATAAAAAAACAAAACATTTTATAAACATTCTTAAAATTATAAAAAAATAAATAAAACGAATTAAAATGAATCAATATGAGTAAAACTAATATTTTTAACCATTTTAAATCATCCAGTATGCATCATATTAAATAAGTATAATTTTTTATCGATTTTTTTTAATGATTGTTATGGTGATTGTTATTGTGTGGTGATGACGGGTTATGAATGGTAATTTATCATTTTTTATTATAAATTGTTTAAACACACATTAAAAAAGATTTATGTGTTTAAAATATCCTTAAAACAATTAAAACAATCGTTTTATAAAATAATTTGTTTGTGTGTGTTTATGTGTGTTTGTGTGTGTGTCTGTGTGAGCTATATTGTTAAAAATTATTATAGTATATAAAATTTTATCTAAATTGGTAAAAAAAAAATAGTGTGTGGGATTGGTAAAAAATAATTAAAGGGGAATTAATAAAGCAAACTATTTTTAGATACATCCAAAAATTGTGTGTAAAAGTGTGTGTGTTTCATTTTAGTTAAAGGTTACCTTATAAGGTTTATTTTCTATTGTCAATAATTTTTTATACTTTTTTTTTTTATTTATTAATTTATTATTATTTATAAAAATAATTGTAATTTAAAATCAAAACTACAAAATTTTTACACTTTAATACCTTAATTAATGATATTTATTAAATTTATATGAAAAAATTACTAATGTATTTATTTATTCTATGATTAACCTTTGATTAACCAATTAAAATGTTCCTTTACTACAATCCATAATTTAATTATTTAATTATTTATTTAATTAATTTTTAATCAACAATTAAAACAAAAAAAAAAAAACTATAAATAAAAAAATTTTAAATTTTATTTGTCAACAAATTAAAAATCAATTTAATTAAAAAAACTAATAAATCAAAATGTCAATCTTATGTATGTTTCATTTTATTATTTTTATATAAATATAAACTAGTATTAATTATTATTTTATAGCTGCTATCTCTTCATTCGGTAACGTCAGCTCAAGATCAAAAAGATCAATTTTAGCATTAGGCGGTGCATCAGGTTTACAAGGTGCTAACAGCAGTGCTGGTGGTTGTGGTTGTGAAGGTGGTGCAACTGTTGGTGTTAATGCTCCAGTTGGTGCTTTATTAGGCAATGTTGTTGGCACTGTTGGTAGTGTTGCTGGTCAATTAGTTCCAGTCGTTGTTGGTACTGTTGGTTCATTATTAGGTGGTGGTAACTGTGGTTGCAACTAAACTATTTAAAACAATTGTTTTGTTAAAATTACTAAAATCGTAACATCATCTTTATCATTACAAATTATTAAAATAAAAAAAAAGAAATAAAATTGCTATTTTTTTAATTCAGAAAAAAAAAAAAATTTCATTTTTCTTATTTTGGATCATTTCTATTAATAATCAAAAAAAAACAATTAATAATTATTATTTTTTTTGTATTTGATAAAAAAAAAAATTTTATTTTTTTTTATTTTTTTTTATTTTTCACAAAATTTTTTTTTTTTTATAATTTTTTTTTTAAATTAATTTTTCTAACTTCAAAATTTATTTATTTTATTTTTTTTTTCTTTTTTTTTCACACACATCATATAAATATTCATAAATAGTATAATAATATAAAATGTCAACCCCAGATGATATTGAATTTAAAGCTGGTAAAGCTCAATTAGTTGATAAAACTGTTACATCAGATAACAGAAAAGGTTTCTTAAAATTCAACGTTGTATGTAGATCACACTTTATATATATTTTAATAAAGTAGAAAATTTCTAATTCAAAACTATTAATCTACATTAGACAGGTGATGGTTTAATTCTTGTTTCATGGAGACCACGTGACTCATCAGCATATGAAGATGTAAGTATCTATATTGTGCAAAACTATTTTACCCAAATGTTGCATTATTCCTAATATACTTTTTATTTCTATTTCTTTAGGAATTTTATTTTGCACCAGGTGAACTTAAATTTGTTAAAGTTGAAGCTTGTAAAACTGGTAGAATGTATTATTTAAATTTTTCAGATTCAAATCATAAAGAATTTTTCTGGTTACAAGAACCAGATGCCTCTAAAGATGCTAAAATTGAAAAAGCAATTAAATTAATTGAAGATTTTGTTCCAATGGGTAATTAATATAACATTTTTTAAAAAAGATTGTTTTGTATTTTTTGTTTTTAAACATGACATATTGTTTTTTTTTTTTATCAATTATATTCTATTCACTAATTAAAAATATTATTTTTTATAATATATATAAAAAAAAAAAGTATAAAAAAAGGAGAATGTAAAATTAAAACAAAAAAAAACAAAAAAAAAATAAAAAAAATAAAATAAAAAAAATATATTTCATCAAAAACTAAAAATAATAACAATAATATGTCATGTCATCTTTATTTTAGAATCAAATATCTTTTTTTTTTACTATTTCTATTTAAACTTTATTAACAAAAATAAAATAAATAAAATTTTTAGATGATGATCAAATGCCAATTGACTCAACGCCAGCTCCAAACCAAACCTCTACACAACCAACAGCTCCAACTAAACAACCAGAAACCAAAACCAATAATACAGCTACACCAGCACCATCATCAACAGGATATATTTCAACACCAAGCCAATCTGTAAATAAGTCAAGTGCAACCACATCAGAAACACCATCACAAATACCAAATATGGATTTATTTAAGGATATATTTTCAAAACTTCCAGCCCAACCAAAACAACCACAAGTTACATTAGGTAAAATAATGACTGCTGAAAATTTAATTCCTTTCCTTAGAGACAATCCAAGTATCAAACAAGATTTATTACAACATCTTCCAGAAGAATGTGCTCAAGATCCAAGCAAGCTAAATGAAATTTTATATTCTCCACAATTTCTTCAATCATTAGAAACACTCGACTATGCTATTTTTGAAGGTCATGGTGCTGAAATTATATCATTATTAGGTTATGAACCAACTTTAGCTTCCCAAAGAGGTGTCGAAGGTTTTTTAACAAATATACAAGAGGAATGTAAAAAAAAACAAAAAAAATAAATAAAATAAATTATATAGATGATACCTTTAATTGTGGGTTTTATAATAAAATATTTTAAATAATAAATTGGTTTTTTTTTAACAAATTTATATATAAATAATGTATTTATTATATTTTTAAAATTTCCTAAATTACATAATAATATATAAAATATATTATTAAACTATTAATTGTTGTGTTGAGATTTATTTGGTTCTATTAGTATACAGCTAATATATTATGTATTATTAATAATATAAAATATATTGATTGAAAAAATAAATATGATAGTAAAAAAAAACAAAAGCATTAAAATGATACTATTTAATTGGTATTACTATTTGCTATTGTAGTTGTATAATTATTTGTATTGGTATATAAATCACTGGTATTATTTAAATTGTCAACATTAATAGTATTATTACTAGTGCCATTACTGCCACTACTATTACTACTACTATTGTCAAAACTATTAGATGTATTATTATTATGACTATGATTATGATTATTATTATTATTACTGTTATTATTTAAACTTTCATTTAAAGGTGGTGATAGTGGTTGACAATATTCTGATGATGATGTTAAACTATTATGAATATTTCTTTTATGTTGATTATGAAGCTCAATTTTTTCAGGTGAAATATTTGGTGGTGGTTCTAAAACATCACTTGAGCATGATGATTTTGGTGATGCTGTTGAATAATTACTTGTGTCATTTGTAGATGGTGGTGGTTGTGGTGGTGGTGATTGATGTTGTTTCATCCTTTGTTGTTGTTGATATAATGCAAATATCATCTTTTGCTCCTCGACTGAACAATCATCAAACATCATTTCTGGATGCTTTAACATATCATATGCTGTTACTATAAAAAGAAAAATATAAATTGTTAACAAATTATATTTAACCAATTAAAACCATTATAAAACTACTTACAATAACTATTATCATTTATTGGACGAGCAGTAAACGAGCTTATTTGACTATCTAAATTTGGTTTTAGGGTATTTGAAAAGAATATACAAACAGATTCGAAAAAGAAAGAAGGTCTTTCACTATTATGACCACCAGCCAACAATAATCTATTCTTATCACCAGAGTATTTTTCATATAAACGTTCGGAGTGATGGGGTCTAACAAAGTTATCAGCCTCACCATGAGCAAATAAAGCAGGTATAAATACTTGATCTGCAACAGGCATAATGTCTAATTCCTTTATATCAAAATGAGCCCTCTTTTTTATTGAACTTCTGACCATTTTCAAACCCAATGAAATCATAAGCTTTGGAAGTTTTTGAACAGCGGAATGAACTAATTCCTCTGCGACTTTATATAATGAACTAAATGGACTATCTAATACCATGCCTGCAATTGAAGGATCTTCTCTTGCATATAAAATTGATGTTACTGCACCCATACTTCTACCCCATAAACCAATTGTCGATATTTTGCCTGTCTCTCTTAAATGCTTTACAATTACACCTACATCATCCTTTTCATAATAACCTAAAGATACATATTGACCACCACTTAATCCACTACCACTAAAATCAAATACTACTACTGAAATATTCATTGGTAATAAAGTTCTAACACACTCCATTGCATCCAGTCTACATCCACTATTACCATGACAATAAATTACACATGGTTGTTTTCTTTATAAAAAAAAAAAAATAACTATTAATATGATGATACCAAAATGCAATAGTATTAATATGATGATACTTACTCTCCAGTTTCCCAATATTCTGATTGTTTAAAATGGCTACACTGAATTGAGTGACCTCTAGGGTTAATTAATTCGAAATCATTTCTAACATAAGTTCTTAGTGGATGACCTAGTGAAAATGCTTTAGGACCTAAATCATCTATAGTATAATAATATCTTGGTGGTCTAATAATCATATTGCATAATGCATCATAATGAGCACTAACATTAAAAAGTGATGGTTGTTGTTGCTGTTGTTGTTGTTGTTGTTGTTGCTGAGCTTGTTGTTGAGCTTGTTGTTGAGCTTGTTGTTGAGCTTGTTGTTGAGCCTGTTGTTGGGCATTATTATTAGTATTTGTAGTAGTTGTGGTTGTCGTAGTAGTTGAACCTGCTGAGCTACTACCTGAACTTGCATTACTATCACTACTTTTATTTAAACAATGACTACTTTGACTTGTATTACTCTTATTTAAAGTGTTGCTATTATTACTTGTTTTTAAACTATTTGAACTTTGACTCTTTCCATTTTGTGATACAGATAAATATGTTCTTGTCATTTTTAAATATCACTATATAAATTTTTTTTCAATCTAATTCTAATAACTATATAGCTATTTTAACTATACCTAAATTAATCTTTTCTTTCTTTCTCTTACTAGACCTAATTAAATGAATAATACTATAAATATTATATAAAGAAAAAAATTTATGATTAATATTTAATTATAATAATATTGATATTAAAATAACAAAAAAAAACAAATTGATATGAATGAAATATGGGTGAGTTTTTGAAATGGAATGTTTGAGAAATTATAATAAAAAAAATAAAAAAAAGAGATACAAAATAAATAAATACAAATGACAATAGAAAGAGGTTTATTAGCTTGTTGTTTTATTATATATATAATTTGTCGCTATAAATAGAGTATTTATAAAAATGACAAGAAACCAATTATTATTATTGGCTAATTAATATATATAAACAATAAATAATGAATGATATTATTATTTATTTTGAGGGTGATGAAAAACCAATATTGTATTTTATTTTTTTTTAAATTAATAAATATTAAATAAATTAAAAAAAAAAATATCACCTCTATTAAAATTATTTTTATTTATATATATATATATTGTATTTGTATTTGATATAATTTAATATTAACTTTATACAATACATATAATTTATTTTTTTTGTTTATTAATTTTATTTTTTTTTTTATTTTTTTTTTTTGTTATTTTAAAAATTAAAGTTGAAAACACTATAAATACTATGTATAAATATAATAATGTTTTGTGTGTGAATGGATTATGAATTTATTATTATTATTTTTATTACTAACATTCTAACACACCCTAGCACACATAAGTTAAACACACACACTTATCTGCACTAAAAACCCAATACACCTAATTTTATTATTTTATTATTTTATTTTTTTACATACATTTAAATAATATAAATAAATAAATAATGAATAATAAAACAAATATTATTATTATATAATAATATATTTTATATATATATGTAAAAATATATATATATTAAGAATATAGAAAAAAAAAAAAAAAAAAAAAAAAAAAAGCAAACGCTTAATTATAATACAAAAAACTATTTTATTATTTTTTAATTTTTTATTATTATTTTTTTATTATTTTAAATTTTAAATTTGATAACAACAATCCAAAAAAAAACAATAAAAAAAATAAAAAAAATAAAAAAAAATAAAAAAAAATAAATTTAAAAATAAAAATAATATTTTAATTGAATTATTTTAAATTCTTTTTTTTTTTTCATAAAAAAAATTCATAAAATAATAGTATTTCTATATTCATATGAAAGCTTTCTATAAACAATCTCCCACAAAAACTAATCAACCAAGTTCATTATTGTGTCAATATGTGTGTATGTTCTTGTGAGTGGGTGTTTATTTTTAAATTTTTTAAAAAAAAAAAAATTGTGTGGTCTGGGTGAAATTTTCATCATTATCATAATAAAAATGATAACAGTTGATGAGAAAGAGCAGTTGTGCACATTGATTGGAGTAAACAGAGGGTTTTGAAGTGCATTATCATAAATTTTTCTTTTTTTTTTTTTTTTGTTTTAACTTACAAATTTCTTGTTTATTTTTAAAAAAAAACTTATATATAATGATTAAAAGTGGGTGATCAATAAAACTGTGGTTTTATTGTTGAGTTATTTTTAAAAGATATGAATATTATCTTTCAAAAATTATATTATATTATATTATGGGTGGTTGAACCAAATAAAAAAAAAAAAAAAAAAAAAAAAGAAAAATGGGTGGGTTTTAGAGGTAATGGTATTATATTAATTTGATTATCGCACGATTTACTTTAATTTTGCATTGTTAAAATATATTTTTATAATATAATTTTGCACACAATTGTTATTAATAAAAAAAAAAAATAAAAAAATTAATTTTATATTTTTTAATTTTTTTTTAATTTTTCTTTTTTTTTTTTTTTTTTTTAATCAACCTAACCACACCAATACACCCATCCAATTAATTTATTTTAATCTAAATTAATTATCGGAAATGTCAACATCAACATCTAATAATAGTAACAATAATAATCATAATAATCATAATAATAATAATATAACAAATAATAATATTAAACCAGCAATTAATATAGATAATAAAATATTTATTGAAATTAATGAAAATATAATAGATTTAAATTATTGGTTTGATTTAGTATCAGATGATGCAAGCGGTGCAACCTCATCCTTTTTAGGCACAACAAGAAACGAATTTAAAGGTAAAGGTGTTTTCAAGTTAGAATATGAAACCTATAAACCAATGGCATTAAAAGAGATTGAAAAAATATGTAAAAAGATTTTAGAAGGTTTCGAAAACGATATTAAAAAAATAGGGGTAATCCATAGAATTGGTGAAGTGCCTGTTGGTGAAGCCTCAATACTTATTGTAATTTCAAGTGGTCATAGAAAATCATCTTTGGAAGCTGTACATTATGCAATTGATACCATCAAATCGACAGTACCAGTTTGGAAAAAGGAATACTATACAGACGGCTCTCAATGCGAATGGAAAGGTAATTGCGAATCGTGCCATTACCATGACCATAAAATATAGCAAACAAATAAAACCAAAATATATTTGGTAATTAATATTTTCTTTTTTTTTTTTTTTTGTTTTGTTTTGTTTTGTTTTGTTTTTCAACTTTTTTAATATAATAATATATTATTAAATATTATTAAATATTATTTATTTATTTTTAATTATTTTTAATTATTTTTTAATGTTTTGGTTTTGGACTATTACCTGGCCAGTTATAACCAAGTGATCTTACGAAACCAAATTTCTTTGATAATTCATCAGCTGATTTTGGACCACGTGAGCCAAATTTATATGGTTCTGGTTGAACTTTAAGATTTTCGATTTGTTCGAGGAGTGGAGTGAAAATTTGCCAAGCAACATCTAATTCATCATCTCTAACGAAAAGATTATGATCTCCCTTAATAGCATCGAGAATTAAACGTTCATAAGCATCTGGTAAATCAAGATTTTCGAATCTATGACGATATGATAAATCTAACTCTGTTTGTTCGATGCTCTATAAAGATTATAAAAAAAAAAAAAAAAAAAAGTGATATTAGTCATTATATTTTATATTATATATTAAATTTTTAAAATTATAATTACATTTTCTAAACCTGGTTTTTTAGTTAATAATTTTAAGTAAACAGCTTCACCTGGTTGAATTCTCATTACTAACTCATTTCTTGAAATTTCTTCATCTCTAAAGAGGAAATTATCTGGACGTTTAAATTGAATTCTAACTTCAGTTTTTCTTTCGTCTAAAGCTTTACCACATTTTAAGATGAATGGCATACCTCTCCAACGTGGGTTGTTGATGTGGAAAACAGCAGCAGCATAGGTTGGAGTTACAGAGTCTTTTGGAACACCATCGTCGTCAGTGTATGATGGGTGTTTACCTGAATCATCAGATACATACTGACCTAAAACAACTTCGTCTAATTTAATTGGTTGAATGCATCTGAGTAATTTAACTTTTTCATTGGTAATATCGTCGGCATTTAATGAAACTGGTGGCTCCATTGCTACTAATGAGAGTACTTGAAGTAAATGATTTTGCATAACATCTCTGATAATACCAAATTGGTCAAAGTAACCACCTCTACCTTCGGTACCAATATCTTCTTTGAAGGTGATTGTAATGGATGAGATGTGTGATTTGGACCATAATGGCTCGAATACAGCATTGGCGAAACGAAGAACCATTAAATTTTGTACCATTTCTTTACCAAGATAATGATCAATACGGAATAAATCCTTTTCTTTAAATAATTTACCTAAATCATTGGCTAATTGTCTACTTGTAGTTAAATCACGACCAAATGGCTTTTCAACAATAACTCTTGACCAACCACTCTTTGACAATAAAGAGCCTTGAATACCAATACTAACTTCAATAAAAATTGATGGTGGAATGGCCATATAAAATAAACGATTGTGTGCTACACTACTTGCCTTCTTTTGTTCTTCGGCATCAATTAATTTTTCAAATTCATCATAAGCTTTCTTTTCATCATATTGACCAGAATGATAATGTAATAAATTTAAAAATTCTTGTTTTTTTTCTTCATTGCCTTTTAATCTGTAAATTAAATAAAAAAAATATTAATATAACTTTTTTGGAATATTTTTTTTTTTCGGAGATAATGATCATATTTCGCACGCCTTTTCAAAAAAATTTTTTTTGAAAAAATAAAAATTTACGTATTTTTTTCGGAAGTGATCATTATCAATAAAATAAATACATACCCTTGGGCAATTCTCTTCTTGAAATCACTAATTTCAATATGTGATCTAGCATAACCATAAATAATTGTAGTTGATGGTAATAAGTCTCTAAGGAATAAACTAAAGAGTGCTGGATAAGTTTTCTTTTTAGCAAGATCACCTGATGCACCCAATACTACAACAGTTAATGAACGATTATCTGGACTTGAACTCATTGTTGTTTCTTCTTTTAATATTTTATTATTATTTGTTGTTGTCAAACTGCTACCCAATGGAAATCTATCTCTAAATATTTTCATTTTAATATTGTTGTTTATTATTTATTATTTTTTTTTGTTTTAATTTTTGAAAAAGAGGGAAAAAGTGTTAATAAGTTTTTAGAAAGTATATGAATAATAATATATGTGGTATAAAGATAATTATTATTTGAATAAAAAGATATTATTTGAATATAAAGAATTTATATGAGGTTAGAAAAAAAAAAACAATTAAACAAACAAATAATAAACAACAATATTTGATAAATGAAATAAATTAATAATGAATTATTGTAGTTTTATTTTTATAATAAATAATAAATCCATTGACATTTTTTTTTTTTTATAAAATAAAATAAATAAAATAAACCACTATATATTATTATTAATTAAACATTTTGTAGAAAAATTACTGTAACTGTAATACTGAATGAGCAATGAAGTTTTTATTATTATCTTTACTATTAATAATAATATTATTATTTAATATATTATTATAAGTACTATTATAGATTTGAAATAAATTTAATAATGAAACAACAGTGAATGTGTATAATAAAATGGTGCTAATAATTATTATTAATTTACCTATTGTGTGCGAGTATATATAATATTAAAGTTGTGTTTTTAAAATGTTATTTTATTGTGAAGTAAATAAAAAAAAAAAAAAAAATTTTAGATATCTATAAAAATAAATTAATTTTACTATATTAATACAAAATAATTACTTGTGATATCTAAGACTGAAAACAATAATTAATACAATAATAACAAATGAAATAAAAAACTATTTATCCTGTTTGTATTTTAATTTAAATAAATAAATAAATGAATGAATGGGTAAATAAATAAAAAAAAATAAAAAATAAAAAATTTTGAAAAATTTTAAAAAAATAAATTATGAAATTATTTCACACCCTACTTTCTGTGTGTGTTATATTAAAATTATTAAAATAAAAATTTTTTTTTAATAAAAAGAAAATAATTTTTTTTTTTTTGGGTGCTCTTATGTTCACTTTTTATCAAAAAAAAAAAAATCCAATTTAATTTTTTTATTTTTTCAAATTATTTATTTTTTATTATTGATTAATAAAAGAATTTCTTATAGCATCCAGCTTCCAGAGGAATAGGGAATTCCCAATGATCAAAATAATTAAATTAAATTTAATAAATGACAAATTTTTATTAAAACAATACAAAAAAGAAAAAAGAAAAAAAAATTTTCAAAAAACGGATCAAAGAATCTTTTTTTTTTTTTTTTTTTTTTTTTTTAAATTTTTTATTTTATTTTTCATTTTCATTTTTTTTTTTTTTTTTGAAATTTATAGTTAAATTAAATTGGTTCTTGTGCCATAATAAGATTCATTATCTTTTTTTATTTTTTTTTATTATAATTGTTAGTAATGTTCTTTATTCTATTAAAGTCTAAAAAAAACTTTGAATTGTTTTCGTGGTTTTGTGTTTTTAAAATTATAATTAAAAAAACCGAATGGTATATTTATTAAAATTTTATTTGTTTTATTGTTTATTTTTAAATATATCTTTATGGTATATTAATTCCCCATTTGTTTATATTTAATGCTCTTATAATAATTTGATTCAATGAGTCTAAAATAAATATTAATTAAAAATAAATAAAATAAAAAAATTTAAATTTTTAAATTTTTTTTAAATTTTTTTTAAAATTTTTTTATAATTATTTTTTTTAATGTTAAATTTTACACAATTAAATATTTTATTATAATTTGACACATAGATATCTATAGAATATAAATTAAACAAAAAGATTTTAGACCAGTTTTATATTTTAATTGATACCAGTTTTATAAAATAACCAATAAAACTACACAATAATAAACAACAACAATATAGTAATAGTAACATTGCAGTATAATAAATTATGTCAACATATAAAAAAGTTAGTTCACAAATTGTATCATCTAAAAATGTTGGTATGGGTAGTACCTATTTAAAAGAAAGAAAAGATTTAAATAAAAATGAAGATACAAATAAATTAAAAGATGAATTAAATCAAAAGGAATTAAAGTCACTTGAAAAGAAAGGTTTATCAAATACAGTTACTATAGAGGATGATAAAGATTTAATAAAATTAAAAAACCAATTAATTAAAGAAGATGAAGAAGAAAAACAAGAGAATTTAAAAAAAAGAAAAGGTATCGATGATGATGATACTGACAGTTCAGAAGACGAAAGTGAAAGTGATAACGAATCTTCAAAGCATAGAAATAAAATAAACAAATTTAATAATGACACCAATGGCAGCAATAACGATGATAACAGCGAGTCAGATGACAGTAACAACGACTCTGATGATTCAGATGATTCAGACGATTCAGATGATGAAGAAGAGTTAATGAGAGAATTGGAAAAGATTAAAAGAGAAAAAGCAGAGCAACAAAAGAAAAAAGAGGAAGAGAAAATAAAAGAGTTGGAAAAAGAGCGTTTGGAAAGAGTGGCCCATGGTAATCCTTTATTAAATAATAGTGGTGGTGGTAGTGGCGGTGGTGGTAACTATTCAACCAATAAAAGGTATGTGTTATTTATCATTGTAGTATAATTTAAAGGTACTATTATCTTTACTAATTATTATTTGTTTTTTCTATAATTACTATTAAATAGCTGGCTTGATGATGGTGTATTTAAGAATCAAGCAAGAGACGAACCAACTGTAAAGAAAAGATTTATTAACGATACAACTAGAAACGATTTTGCTAAAAAGTTTTTATCAAAATATATAAAATAATAATAAAACAAACAAAAATTATTTAAATTTAAAAAAGTGTTTATCTTTATTTTTAGGGTTGCTTATTTTATTTTTTCAGTCACCAGAATGAGGATAATTATTATTTGTTATCAGAATGCTGTTTTTTTTTTTTTTTTTAAATTTTATTTAAATATTTAATTTTTTTTTTAAATTTTTTATTTAAATTTTTTATTTTTTTTAATTTTTTATTTTATTATTTTTAACAAGTGAATAATTTATATTATTATTGTAACAATACTATGAAATAAAACTCATATTATATACATTATACACACACACATATACACACAGATATAAAATGGTTGTAATAGATACAAATTTAAAAGTTGAAGAACAATCAATTCTATATCATATCAATTCATCAGATGTATATAATTTATTGCAAGATATATCAGGATCAAAATTAATAGTGGATTTAAGATCAAAGGAGAAATATGATGTTTCGCATATTAGAACAGCAATTAGTTTACCACCTCCACCTTCACCAGATTCAAATACAAATTCTACCATCAAATCATTTAATATTAATAAATATATTGGCTCAAATGCAACAGCAAAACATTGGAATTTAATATTTAATAGAGTTGTAGTTTATAGTGATAAGCCATTTCTATATAGTATCGACGAGTTGGAGCATTTGGACGAGTTTAATTATACTGGTATTGTGGATTTAAAAAGAGAAGATTGGGATCATGTTTTGCTTAAATACTTTTTGTCAAAAAGAAAGAAAACTAAAATTATGGTATTCCAAGATGGTTTCAACACGTTCCATTCCAATTATCCATTTATGTGTAATTCTTCCACTATAAAAGTAACAGGTTCGCTCTATCCATCAGAAATTATCATAAACTTTTTATATTTGGGTGGCACTGAAAATGCAGCCACAAAAGAACAATTACAGAATTTAAGTAAGTTTAATATAACGATTACCTCACAAATTACTATTTTATAAAATATCGTTTATACTAATGTTCATCTTTACTCATTTTTAGAAATTACACATATAGTTAATATGGCATCAGAGCTTGACGATGTTTATCCACATACATACAAGTACTATAGGGCAGATTTAGATGATAGACCAAAGGCAAACATTTATCGACACTTTCAACCAGTTATTGATTTTATAAATGCAGCAAAAAGAGAAGGTGGCAGAGTATTGGTTCATTGTGCAATGGGTATTTCAAGAAGTACAACCGTGGTTTTAGCATACTTGATGAAAGAGGATCATTTATCTTTCAATGATGCTTATAAATTTGTAAAATCAAAACGTACTTTTGTAAATCCAAATCATGGTTTTATTACTCAACTAAAGGAATATGATGCATTTTTAATTAAAGAAAGAGAAAGGGAACATGAGCAACAAAATGATGAAATGAAGAGATTAAAACTTAATAGTATAAAGGAAGAGAATACCGGTAGTGTTATTCCAATGAACAATAATAAATTGGTGTCAGAAAGCACAGTAGCATCCAAAAATGATATCAAAATAAAGCCACATGACAAAACGAAGGGTTCACAAACCAACTCAAACAAACTAGAGCCAGATAGTATTATAAATGAAAATAATAATGACAGTGATATTGAAATGAAGTCACAAAATGATATAGAGGATTCACCACTAGTATCATTTGGATTACCCATTTTACCAAATAGAGAAATCTCAAATTTAGAGCCAATCATTTTAAAAGATGCACCAACTGCAGCAACAGCAGTTGTCAAAAACCAGTTGCCAAATCAGTCATCACAAACAATACAGTTAGATCAATCTCAATCAAAACCGGACCAATTAAAACAAGAAAATCCTCAATTCTTGCCAACAACTCAATCACTATTAACAAAATCCCAATTATTACCAGGAGCAAAAGTAAAAACTGTTGATATTATCTCTAATTCACCAATTATTGAGGATTCAATTTTTAAAATGTCAGAGCAACAATCACTTTCAGAAAAACAACCCAATAACAATACTTCACCAAAAATACCTCAATCATCATTGTAAAAAAATAATTATATTAATAAAGATTGTTTTGTGTTTGTGTAATGTTTGCAAAAGAAAAATATGTGGTTTGTGTATGTATATTGATTGTATTCAAAGATTGAGAAGCCATCATTAAATATTTCTTGGATATGTGGTTGAATTGGTTCAGTAGTTTGTGATGATGAAACCAATTGTTTTATTTGAAATTAATAGTTACTAAACTTAGTTTAATTTTATTATAATTTATTTTGAATTTGTTTAATTTTAATTTTTTTTTTTTTTTGTTTTTTTTTAAAATTTTTTTAAGGGTATATTCAAAGAATTTTCCACTTTTTTTTAAATTTGTTGAAATTTTTTTTTTTTTTCTAAACAAAAAACAAAACAAAAAAAAAACTATTTATTTAAAATTAAAAAATAAAATAAAGATAAAAATAAATAAAAATAAAGATAATAAAATAGATAAATAATATAATAATAAATATAATAATAAATAAAATGGTTATAATTGAAAAAAATATTAAAGATGATGAGCCATCTATTCAATATTTAAATAATTCAACATATATATTCAATTTGTTGCAAGATACAAGGAGATCTAAAATAATAATTGATGTTAGATCAAAAGAGGATTACGATAAATTACATATCAGAACAGCAGTTAATGTTCCTCCACCATCACCATTTGGAATTAGCGAAAAGGATAAAGAGGGCAATATATGGATTAAAAATTTTGATATTGCCACATATATTGCATCAATACCTAAAGTTAAACTATGGAATGTTTTATTTCAAAAAGTTGTGGTATACAGTGACAGAGAATTCAAAGATTATACAAACGATTTCGTCAATAAAAAAGAAGAAGAAATTAATGGCAAAAAAACTTCATATGAGGTTAGTTTTAAATTATCTGATTGGGAAGATGTAGTATTACAATACTTTTTGACCCAAAGAAAAAAGTCAAAAGTCACTGTGTTCCAAAATGGTATTGTTTCATTCGAATCCAACTATCCATTCGTCTGTAATCCATCCGATGTTGTAATAGCCGAGCCAATGTATGCTTCTGAAATTATAGAAAACTTTTTATATTTAGGTGGCCAATCAAATGCTGAAATTAGAAAGCAAATTAAAAATTTAAGTAAGTTTATTAATAAACAGTAACAATAAATTAATAAATTAGGATTGAATATTAATAAACAATTTTTTATCAATATTATAGAAATTACACATATTGTAAATATGGCATCAGAATTAGAGGACTCTTATCCTCATATTTATAAATACTATAGAGCAGATTTAGATGATACACCAAGAGCAGATATTCATCAACATTTTGTACCAATTATAAATTTTATTAATTTAGCTAAACAAGATGGTGGTAGAGTACTAGTTCATTGCGCAATGGGTATTTCAAGAAGTGCTTCCGCAGTAATAGCATACTTGATCAAAGAAAATCAAATGTCGTATCAAAATGCATTTGTATATGTAAAATCAAAAAGATCTTTTATTAATCCAAATTTTGGTTTTGTTTCCCAATTAAAAGATTTTGAATTTTTTTTAAAAAATGAAAAAAAACCAAAATCAGAATCAGAATCAGCAACACAAACATTAGATAGTTTGGTTACAGATATTAGTATTCAGTTGAATGTTAATAAATAAATTAAATAAAAATTAAATCAACATTATTGCAAATTAGTTTCCCATCTATTTAAAATTTTTTTTCCCTCTTTAAAAATTTTTTTTTTTTAAAAAAATTTAAATTAATTTTTTTATTTTTTTTATTTTTTATTTTTTCATTTTTTAAAACATATAATTTAAATATATTTCAAAACTATTATTTATAAATGCAAGCTGTAGCAAATAAATCAAATATTACATTAAAAGGGTCAACAGATATCGTAACAGAGTTTTTTGGTAATTAATTAGATTTAAAAATAAATTATAAAAAGAGATGTTTGTTATTAATTTTTATTTTTATGTGCAGCATACAGTATAAATACAATTTTATTTCAAAGAGGATTATACCCACCAGAATCATTCACTAGAATTGCAAAATATGGATTACCAATTCTAGTTACTACAGATGAAACATTAAAAAATTATATTGAAAATGTATTAAAACAATTATCAGAGTGGTTATTATCAGGTGATATTCAAAAATTAGTTTTGGTAATCACAGATATAGTCACAAAAGAAGTTTTAGAAAGATGGGTATTCGATGTTGTTACCGATTTACCAAAGGATGGAGAGTAATTATATATATAGTAATAATAATGTCAATATATAATAGTTAATTAATTATTTTAATTTTCAATTTTGTTAATATTAGAGCACCAAGAAAAAAACCAGAAAAAGAAATTATGAGCGAAATTCAAGCAATTATAAGACAAATTACAGCAAGTGTAACCTTTTTACCATTATTACCAAATGCATGCACATTTGATTTATTGGTTTATACTAAAAAAGATTTACATGTACCACAAGAATGGGAAGTATCAGATCCAAGATTAATCACAAATTCACAACATGTTAAACTCAGATCATTTACAACCTCTGTAAGTTTTTATTTTTTTATTAATTTTTATATTCAATATGTGTGTGTACATATATTCATAAATTAATAATTTAATTAAATTTAGATTCACAAAGTTGAAAGTATGGTTTCATATAAAATCTCAAGTGATTAATTTATTTTATATATTTTAATCAAAATCAAAATCGAAATCGAAATCAAGCCAAAATCAATATCAAAACGAAATTTGAATTAAATTTAACAAATGCATCTTAGGAATAATTTTAAAAATATTATATAGATTAAATTATATATAATAAGTTTTTGTAAATAAATAAACTTTATGTATTTAAAATAAATAAAAGAACTTTAATAATCTGTTTTTATTCTTTTTCTCAATTTTATTAATTCCTATTATCTGCTTTAAGTTATAGACTCCAGCAGGGTTTGTAATTATATTAAAAGTTTGTAAATAAAGAAAGTAGTATCAAAAAAAAGTTAAATGAATCGAGTAACAAATAATAATCATAGATATGGTTATGATATCCCAAAGGTGGAAATAAAAATAAAATATGGTTATGATATCCCAAAGGTGAAAATTAAAAATAGAAATATTGTATTACTAATAAACATTATAATTTTTTTTTATTGCTTATTTAAATTTAAAGTTTATCATTATTCATTTCTTTCATTTTTTGATTTACATTATTGAGGAATTTTTCTTTTTTCTTTTTCTGTATGATGTGATATGATATTGAAATTACAACAACGGCTACAAAAGCAGTACAACCTACAGCAATACCAGCAATTTTGGCACCACTGAGTTTTGAATTGTTTGGACAGATAGAATTGATTTTTGATGATGCTTTATTTGAATTAATGAGAATGGAAAAATCTGGATCGATGATTGCTGATTCTTTAAAGTTTTGAATTTGAATACAAATATATGATTGTAATGTTTTGGTTTCACTTATTGGTTTCATATCTTTGTCTAATAATATATTTGAGATTGATCTAACCCTAGAATCTATGATACCTCTTTTAATAAATCTACCATACAATGAATGATTATCCACTTGAATTTTTAGATAGTTAGAATTATCCCCTGATGTAGTTTCACCAAATTCCCTTGCTGAGCAAATATTATCAGTTGTATTGGACTGAGCAAAAGCTGACATTACTAGTTCTAGTTGGTTTAATGGGCTATTAAATGGATATTGACCTATTTCTATAGTATATTTCATTGTTGATGGGTTCATAAATAGTTGTTCATCTGCAAATGTAATTATAGTTTCATTTATAAACCATTTTAATGTTACAGATACTGTTGTATTGATTATTTTTCCATTATTTTTAATTTCTAAATTTGTATTATATATAAATGTTGAGGGATCATATTGATAGACAACCCATTTTTCAAAAGATTTAGTGTAAACTACTTCACCAAAAACATTAATTTCTCTGATTGCTACAATCGATATTAATGAACGGAATATAACTTTATTATCGTCAATACTTGGTAAATTAATATCAGTTGATGGTGAAGTTTCATTTGCTTTTGGTGGGTCTACAATGACAATTTGTGATAAACAGTCAACACCAACCCATGGTGAATAGCATAGACAACCTTGATTTTCAATACATTTGCCATTCTCTGGACCTCCACATACTGGTGTACCTTGGCATTGTTGAGGTTTATTGGTTGGTATTGGAGTATCTGTTGAGCCTGTTGGGTTTTCGTTGTTGATATAATAGTCAAATATAGTTGGAACAATGGTAATTGAGTTTGATTGTAACGATATTGTTTTAATATAAACTTGATAGGGGTATATAGTAGCTTTTACTTTTGGAATTAATTAATATTGATGTTGAATATGTTCTCGATACTTTTAAAAGTACCATCACTAAATTTAAAATAAGCAGTTGAATCTTCACCAAAAGCGCTACCAAATAGCCATAAGTCACCTCCTTTTTCGGTTATTCTAAAGTGATCATTGATGTTTGGTTCATTAGAGGTAAATGAAGTTTCAATAAAGCTGTCATAGCCTTTATCTAATAAGTAGTCAGTTGTGAAGCCACTGAACATTCCATTATTATTAATAAAACCATAAACTGATAAAATAATACCATTAGGATAGCCGAAACTTATTGGAAGCTGTATTGTACATGTGTATGTTGCAGTAGTTTCTAAATTGGAACCAGAAACAAACCCAAATGGAAAAGATTTCGATATTGTGAAACCAAAACTTGAAAATTTAATAGGGGATAGTGGATATTTAACAGTATTTTGAAAACCTACATTTACTATTGGTAAATTATGTGAATAGGAATTTACTGATACTGAAGATGGGATTTGAGGTGTTCCAAAAACAACTAATATTTAAAATAAGTTAGTAAAATTTGGTTTAATTTTTTGAATAAAATTAAAAATTATCTGTCATACATTGTTTATTAGATCTTGAAGTAACTCTGGACTGCTTTGTTAAACCATTTTGAAATAAAAATTGATATTCATATGTTGAAGCAGATGTATCATATGGACCAATTGGATAATAATAGGTGGTTGTTGAGCTATTTCCATAGATTGGTCTTATCCAATTATCAATTGTTTAACCATCCCTAGTTTAAAGAATATGGATAGGCATTTGCAAGTGAACGATTAGATGTCAGTACAAAAACAACACCTTGGCCAAAACCTATTAGTTATACTTAACTCTTCAATTAATTTAAAACTAATTATATTTAGATCTATATCTAGAGATTTTAAAATAAAAAATATAAGTTTTATTTATTAATTCTTTGATACTTATGCATATACAACTTAACTTACTGTAACATTCGACTTTTAAATCTAATTTTGAGTTTATATTAAATGTTTGCACACCAACACTAGCAGATATAAAAACACTGAATATCGATGAGGTTTAGTTAGCATCTAGTTGTGAAAAAGATACACCATCTGAAGGAGAGACTTGTAATTGTGAATCACAACTTTCATTTGGATTTTCTATTGTACATAATATATATGAATTAAAATAACATGTATCTAAAACTGTATAATATTTATAACTTGTGTTAATTGGGGATATATCTGGAAGCAAGGGGATAAAAAATAAGAAAATATCTTAAAAAAATTCACAAAATTTCCGTTTTTTTTTTTATTTTTTTTTTATTTTTATTTTTTTTTAGAAATTTTTTTTTGATTTTATTTGAGATCCGATGTGTTTTAGTTTTTCTTATAATATTTTAAGGTCAGTAATACATACCTTATTTACAAATATAAGTACAGAGATTGTTACATATTAACTTTGTAATTTAAATAATAATTTTCAAAGTAATATAAATAAATATAATTATTAAATCTGTTAGAAAAAAGTTTTTTTTATTTTTTTATTATTTTTCTATTATTTCTATGTTGCAAAATTTAAGAATAAAGATTTTGGGTTTTAAAATTTTTTATTAGTTATTATGTTTATAAAATTTAGAAAAAAGGAAAGTATTTCTTTTATGGTTTTAGTCTAAGTGTTCTTTTAGAGTTTATATAATATATTCTCGCATTGAAATTTAGAAAAAAGGAAAGTATTTCTTTTGGTTTCAATATATTTTTATGTAATAAAAAAACGAAAAACAAATTTAATATTATTAGATTTTGTGTAACCTTAATATTTTAATCTTTCATTATAATTTTCATAATAAATTAAAGATCTTTTTTTTTTTTTTTTTTTTTGTTTTTATTTTTTTTATACACAATTACAATTTTTTTTTTTATTTATAATTTTTTTTTATTCATTAATTAAATATTAATTATATTTAAAAACATGCTAAAATTAATAATAAATTATTTAGAGTGTTCAAGGATATATATATCGGTCCATTGTTGCTTTTTTTATTTTATAGCTTTAGCAGTATCTGTAGAACAAACCGGTAAAGTTGATTATTTTTTAAGTTTATTATGCTTTGGGATAACTTTTTTTAATCATAACATTGCTTATTTAATTAACTCTTTGATTGACTTTTTATATGAAGTGATACTGCTGTAACAGTAGACAAAACTCTTTTTGGGTTAACTTCAATAAAAGTGTTAAAAAGATACATATGGTTTTCAACAATTTCAATTTGCTTCATTTTAATTCCAGTTTATACGAAATACCATTTTGATATTTTCAAAGTAGTTTTGTATTTTACCATTATCCAGTTTATTGGAAGTATTCTTTATACTCCAGCCAAATACGTTGCATGTGGTCAATTCATTTTCTTAGGTTTCCATGTTAGCACTCTCTATTTCTTTTACTTTTCACAATGTCAAGAAATTGTTATTTTCGATATTGGTCATCCAATTACTCTCTTTAGTTTTTTGATTATGTTTAGTATGCTACAGGTTATTCAAGGAAATTACCACAGAGATCATGATGATGATAAAAAAGCAAGAATTTATACAATAGCAATCTTATTAGGAAAAAAATTTTCTTTATATTATTTCTATTCTTTATTTATAATGTAATTTAAAATTTAATTTAACAATTTTTTTATATTGTCTAATATTTTTTTTTTTAGGTATTGCATTTGGGTTATATTTTTATCATTTTATTTAAATAATATCTATTATTTATTAATGTTGATAATATATAAAAAAATGTATAATTTATATCTTGGTGCTAAAAAAGGTGATGTTTTTATGTTAAACTGGAGAGTATGCAAAATATATTTCCTTTCCTACACTTTTTTAATATTGGCTATTATCTTGGGTGGTAAAATAAAAGTTTGATAAAATTGTAATTTTTATAATAAATTAATAATTTAATTTAATAAAATTTCTATTATATGTTTTCAATATATAATAATTTGTCACTATTATTATTTGGTTATTTTAATTTTTATTATATACATAAATTATTGATCAGTTATATTTAATTTTTTTTTTTTAGTTTTTTTTTGCTTTTAATTTGTTGATGATGGTGATTTAGCTCTGTTTAATATTAATGGGATATCATTATGTGACTGGCATATAAAACAACCATTAAAATATATTTACCTGCCACAACTGATGAACCTGGTTTACCAGCAACAGAACCTATAATACAAATAATTACAAAGTCTGGAAATGGGCAACAAGGCACAAATATAATGATAAATATAAAACAAAACAAAATAAAAAAAGAAAAAAGTTATAACTATTTTTGTTTTGATAAATCCATTTTAATTAAAAAAAATTTATAAATTTTTATTAAATTTTTGAAATTAATCAATAAAAAGAACCATTTCAACATGATTTTCCATGGAATAAAACTAATCAAACTTAGGTCCATATAAAAATTCACTTAGCCATTTAAAACCTAATTATTTAGAGAAAAAATGTTGGTTAATAAAAATGAATTAAATTTTATAATTTTTAATATATTATTAAAATTTACCTTCATAAAGACCTTCACCCGAGGTGGCACAGGTTTGTTCGGTGTGCCATTTTCTATTATAGATTGAGTTGATATGAAGTGTATCATTTACCACAGAAGTGTGTTTTGCATTAGGAAGATCTTGTTTGTTACATAAAACTAAAATAGGAACATCACCTATATCATTTTCATCGAGAATTTTGTGGAATTCATCACGATTTTCTTGAAGTGTTCCTATATCGCTTGAATCGGCAACAATGATGAAGGCTTGAATTTTTGGTGATGGTTTTAGGAAATATTGTCCCAATGATGATCTAATTTTATAATAATCATCATCAATATCACAAACGATAAAGTTAATGTTTTTGGATTGGACTAAAATTATTTAAAAAAATTAAAATTTATATTAATACGGAATGAATTTTGGATGAATTAAATTTATTAAAATTTAAATTTCTTGCTGTTTAAATTATTAATTTACCAGTTTCGATAATTGGAGTTTTGGTAACAATCTAAAAATTACAAAAGATTATCAGTAAAAATAATATTTTAATTTTTTTTTAAATATTCTTACTTCACCTAATTTGAGTTGTTGTAAAATGGTAGTTTTACCAGCGCCTTTAGGGCCAACCATTAAAAACTTAACATCATGTTTGTCAAAAAGATTGCTGATTTTAGATTCTGTAGACATAAATAAAAATAGATAATTAATATATTGAATTTAATATATAAAAAAAAATTTAAAAATAAAAAAATTTTTTAATGTTTAATAAATTTTTTTAAAATTAACCACCAAAATTTTTTCTAAAAAAAAAATTAATATTAATCACAAAAATTAATACTTAAGTTTACACACAAAAAAAAAAAAAAATGTTTTTGTTTTTAAAAAAAAATGGTGTTGCATAATAATTGAGGTATTTTAAAAATTTTAGTTTTTTTTTAAAAAAAAGGTGATTATAATAAGCGGGGTGTTTTGGTGTTTTAATGTTAATCATTTTTTATTAATAACAAAAAAATTTTCAAAAATTAAATAAACTGCAGATATACAATTTGATTATTTTAACAAAATATATATTTTAAAACTGTTCAAATTTTGTTATTTCAAAAATGTGAAAAATGATAATAGAAAATTAAAATTTTAAATACTAAAAGAAATATTGTGATGTGTGTTTCTGCTGTTATTATAGATTGAGTTACTATAAATTTTAATGCATACAGATTTCTCTTTATAAAGCTCAAAGGTGGCACTGTAAACCAAGTTTAAAACTTCTTTTAATCCTCCAAAAAAACAATTTAATATTACAAAAAAAAAAAAAAAAAAAAAATATCATTTGAAATCAAATGGGATTCATTATAAAAATTAAAGAGAAGCATTCGACAAAATAATAATAATAACAAACGATTTCCTTAAATCAAGATGGTTTGATTATTGTTTTTTTTTTTGTAATATTAAATTGTTAATTGACTTTATTAACAATTTTTAAAGTTTATATCAGTTTTGATTGTATAATAGAATATCCAAGAAATTAATTGGTTAGAAAATTGGTGGTTCTATTTTTAATAAATTTAAAAAATCAATAAAAACAATAATAATAATAATAATGATTTTAATAAATTAAAAATAATAAAAATAATAAAAATTTTTGTTAATTTTTATGTGCTAACTTCTTTTCACCCCAAAAAAAAATTTAATTTGGCAGCCAAAGACAATTCAAAAAAAAAAAATCTAAAAAAAATAGGGGATTATTTCAAACCTTTCAATATTTTTTTGTGTGCAAAAAAATTATTTTATGAAAGTAATTTACAAACAAACCTTTTTAGAATTTTTTTTTTTTTTTTTGTTTTTAATGTCGAAAGAAAATAATAATAATTACAATAATTGAAGAAAATTTAATAATAAAAATTAAAAACCTCTTTTATCCCCCAAAAAAAGATTAATTTTACAGCCTTGGGCAACAATTTAAAAAAAAATTTGGTGGTTAAACTTTTCAAATTTTTTTTTTTTTTACATATTAACCACCTTTATAATATGGAAGTGATTTCTTTTTTTGCATATCTACAACTTACATATTATGAAATTTTATTAATGTTTTTTTTAAAGAATAAAATTAATTTTTATATTGAAAAAAAAAATATTTAAATCAAAATTTTTTTTTTAAATATAATATTTTTAAAATCATTTATTTGTTTATTCATTCTTATAAATAAATAAATACTATCTTTATTTTTAATTTCTTAGCTTTCTAAAATTTCATATTCCTCAAATCAACAAAATTCAAATGTCCACAATCCCAGCCGGTAGTGTTGCATGTTTATTCAATGCTTTATTAAATATGCGTAGTTCAACTGATCATAATGCTGATCATGGTGTAAAAAACTCTCTTTTAAATTTTACCAACTCAAAAGAAACAGGTAGATTTGATGGATCAGAATCTTGGTCTGCATCAATCAATGATGATAAACAATTCATCGTTGCAGGAAGTTTAGTGGTAAGCGATTTTGTTGCTATTTCAACTCAAGGTCGTGGTGATTTTGGTATGAATACAGTTTTTTTATAATTTTTAAAAGGTAAAATTTTATTAATTTTAAATGTTTAAATTATTTTTATTTAGATCAATGGGTCACTTCATATAAAATCACATACTCATATGACAATGTTACATGGCAAAATTATAACAATGGTCAAGTTTTCAAAGGAAATACTGATAGAAACACAGTAGTAACTCATGTTTTCCCTCAACCAATTCGTGCTAGATCTATTTGTATCACCCCAGTCACATGGAATGCCCACATTTCACTTCGGTAAATTATTAAAAAACAAATCTATATTAAATTTTAAAATGACTTGTATTAATTTATTGTTTTTTTTAAAATAGTTGGGAACTTTATATCAAACCAGCAGTAAGTAACTTTGTACAAATTGGTCACGTTTCAATTGGTGATAGAACTCTTAATACTGGTAATGGAGTTCGTGAAGCTGTTCGTCATGTTGATTTTGATAGACCATTTGGCAAAGTACCAAAGGTTGCTCTCGGAACCACCCATGTTGATGGTACAACTGATAATAATCAATTAAGATATCGTGTCGATGTTGCCAATGTTACAGCAACCGGCTTTGATATCAAATTTGTTACATGGGTTAATAATATTATATATGATATCACTGTTGACTATGTTGCAGTTGAACATTAATTATAATGTTTATAAATCTAATCATAATTATTTCAAATAATAGATTAATAAAAAATAATTCTAATTTATTTTAAAAAATCATAAACTTAGTTTTTTTTTTTATTGATTAAACAAAAATAATAATTTTTTCAATTATAATAAAAAAAAAAAGATAAAAAGCCTTATGTCAAAAATATTTCTTAAATTAAATAATTGGTTTTTTTATTTATTTTTTGAGAAACATAACATACAGGTTTGTTCTTCTATACAACAATGATGATAGGAATGACCACAATTTGGAAAAACTATAATAGTAGCAGGAGTTGAACCTAAAAAACTTGATTCTGGATTTTCTGCTAAAGGTAATGTGCATATTTGACAAATTCCGGTTTGTAATTCTGTTTCAACACCCCAATGTCTTCTTGAGTTATCTTCAAAAAATTGTGGGAGGCTAAAATCGAATTGACCAATGTTGTTCTTTAAGTTTTTTAAACTATTATTATTGTTATGTTGGTTATTATTATTATTATCTTGGTTTAAATTTATTTCTTTTGTTAAAATTGATAGGATTTGGGGGGATAAAGTTAAAGGTTTTTTTAACCATAAATGACTATCTAAATTTGATAAAATGTCATATGAAAGTTTCGAACGATTGTATAACGACCATTTACCAAAATTAATCCAGTCACTTAGGATACCAGTTGAAATTTTATTCTTTTCAAACATTTCATTATTATTATATTTACAAATTAGCTCTATGGTTTCGAGTGGACCTATAGCTTTACCCATTAGTTCGATGATAAATGATTCAGAGATGTCCAAAACGATTTTATTTGATTCGTCATAGTATTCAAATTCTTTATCGACAAAATTACGTAAAGACTTCATAGTTTCTAGAGTAAACGACCAAATTTCAATATTTGTATTGGTTTCGAACAATTGAAGAAAGCCCTGTTTGTTATCGCAATATACTGTCAACTCTACTAATTTCTTCGAGTATTCTATCAAGAGTTCTTCGTTGTATAATACTGATTTAAGTGAATATATCTTGTTATAATATGAATATATGTGGTATAAACCTTGGAAAAAACCTTCTTTCTTGCATTGCTCTTCAAAGTATTTAATATCACCATTGTATTGGCCACTGGGGCTAATTGTGTTCTCTATAATTTGAAGTAAAATTGCGCTTGATGACTTCCACTCAACTTTAAATGACCCCAATCTTGGTACCATACGTTCACCATTATCTAGACTGAGGAATAATTGATTACTATCTGGTTTATCATGTTGTAAAGTACAGTCAAACCATTCAATTAATAAATTTGAATTTAATTTACATTCTGGTTTACTATTCATTAGTTGATTTAAATATTCGAATTTAATTATATTGGTTAATGCTGTTGTGGAGTTGGTATCTTGTTGTTGTTGATTGTTATTAATAAATTGGAAAATATTTCTTGGTAAGATAACTGGATATTGTTTTGCAAAGAATATAGATGCTTCTTTTGGTGACATTTGTAATAATGGGTCAATAAATCTAAATAGTAAACCATAGTCATTTAAATGACTATCAAGTAGACTGAGACATGTGGAAGAGTCATTTGTGTCTAAAAATTGATAAATAGTTGAAATGATCTTTGACTCTTGCTTGGTGAAGGACTCGAGTTCTAAAAGAGTTTCTATACAGCTATCCCATTGTTTTTCGTTGGTGTTGATATAAATTTTGTTGGTGTGTAAAAAGTTAAAGTATGATTTAATAAACTCTTTAGCAATAGATTCATCCCAACATTTGCAAAGCTGGTGTTTTGATGACTCTGTCTCTTTACATTGATTCAAATTGATACCCATAATAAAACAACTTGTAACAATTTCTTTAATCATTTCGTTAGCTGGTACATCTTCAATAGAGTTGAATAAATGAGCCCAAATAGATAGAATGACTTCAAATGACTCTTTGTTTTTATTTTCTTTGAATGATAATAGTGATTCATAGGTTTTCTTTGTTAAATTATCTAATGCTTCTAGTGGATGAATATTAATAGCTGGAGGTGGTGAAGCTGAATCCTCTACTGGTGTTATATTTGTAGCTACTAAACCATTAGTATTATTTATACCTGTTGATGTTGTTGTACCTATTGCTCCAGCAAATTTATGTGTTATATCGTTGGTTTTATTTAATGCAAATTGTTTAATCTCTAATAATGATGATGTTGCAGAATTTAAAGTTTTGAAAATTCCTTCTTTGCCCTGTTGAACAAAATTTTGTGTGGTTGCGTTAAGATTTGCTGTTGTTGAGGTTATTACTGCTTGTTGATCTATATTTGCATCTGGCTGTATGGCTACTACTGGTGTGGGTTGTGGTATTGTAACAACAGGTTCACTGGTATTAACTGGTGATACTGGAGTTGTACCAATTGGTGGTGAGCTAACAACACTTGATGGAGCTTTCTTTACAATTTTCTTTTTAATAATAACAGTTCTTTTAGTTGTACCTTCTTCATTTGTTGTTGCTGTTGAATTTTCATTTGTTGCTGATGGTTTATTTACAGTAGTTGCTGGTGGTTGAGATGGTGCAGTAGACGAAGCTGGAGGTTGAACTTTAATTTTTTTCTTTATAACTTTTCTAGGTACACTCAAAGTTGGCTCTTTAGAAATTAATGGTTCTGATGATAATGGAATATCTGAAAAAATAGATTCCTTTTGAGTTTTTTTAACCTGTGGTTGTTCTTCAATGGTTGATGTTGGTGAAGTTGATAAAGATGACTCTACTACAGTAGTATTTGTGCTAGTTATTTGTATAGGTGCAGATAATGGTTGTTCATTTTTTTTAATATCTGAGTCATTTGAAAATTTTAATATAGTTTGTTGAGGAACTGGATTATGATTAATTGTCTCTTCTGTGCTATTTGAAAGGGAATCTGTTAATGTTATATCATTTTCACTTAAACTTTCACTTAAATTTGATAAACTATTATTTTTAACCATTACTATATAAAAAGGTATTAATAACATGATAAAATACATTAAAATAAATTATTATTAATATTTACAATTTGCTTCTTCATCTTTCTTTAAAAACTCTGGCTCAATACTATTGTTTAATGATGTTGATGCTGATGATGATGGCGATTCAATAATAATATTATTTTCCTCAACCAATACTTTTTCTATTTCTGGAGCTGGTTCTGCTATAATTTGAGGTTGTTCAATAATTGGTTTATTCTCTTCATTATTTTCATTTTGGTTTTCTAAATTTGATTCATTCTCTTCTTCTTTTTGTTCGTCTGGAGGTAAAATTATAATTGGAATTGATGTAAAAATTCTGGATATTGATCTTTGTTGGCCATGAAGTACATATATGGAATCTTGATAAACTACTAAATCGTGAATGTGGCTTTGGTCCAATTTCCATTCCAATACTTCAACTTCGTTTACATCGATTAAAAGCAATGAGTAGTCATCATAAGAGACCAAGTAGTTACCAAATGGTAATAGTTTTGAAAATATCATTGGAAATTTACCTTGAAGATAGTGGTCAGCATCGGCGTTTGCTGAAGTTATCAATGGTTTGGGTTTAACTATTACTCCATCTTCGGAAGGGGTGAAATTCATAGTTGATAAAACTTTTCCATCAATTGGGTCGGCTAACCATAATCTCTTTCCTGGTCTTGAAGTATACACAGAGCCCTTGTAAAATGGATGAAAACATGCACCTTGTTTAGTATTTTCACGTAATTTTTTACCTATTTGCGTTGTTGATTGCAATTTACCAGAGTTTGTTGATGTAAGAATTTGATAGTTTAAAACCATTGACTTTGTTAGAGTACTTGATAGAATACTAACATTTATAGATTGCACGTGAACAGGAGTTGGTAAAGGTGTTGTTATAACTATATTTTGATTGGATGGTTGGTTGTGTTGGTTTAACTGACTATCTAATGTTGAGTGTGGTTGACTGTTACCATTACTGATGGATATAGTTGGGATGATATCTAATTGTACAATTTTGCTATCACATTTATATACCAATTCACCACTGAAAAAGAATGCCTTTCTAGCCTTTACGACCGAGCAACAAAAAATGTTTCCCGAGTCATCACCGCTGAATAAATAGTTACCACAACGACTCCATATAATAGATGTGATTTCAGAATCTTTTGGATGATCAGTCATTTTTGCTAAAATCTTTTCTTTCTCTCTACTTTTAGATATATTTGACTCTATAATATACAATGTTCTTAATGTTGCAACTGCCACCAAATTATCATTTATTGGATTGATTTTAATAATCGATATTTGATCTCTGATATCATTTAATGATAAAATTTGGGTGAATGATATATTATCGTTGGTAAACACCTTGAATGCATGTTGATGATTTTGAAAATGCTCCAATATCTGTTTCTTATTTGTAAAAATTGAAGATGCTGATTTTCTTTCAAAAAAGTATAGACTACCTGTAGTCGCACCCAAGGCTAAATATCTCTTTGATACATCTAAACATGTGTATTTAACTCTACTCCCACCACCAATCGGTAATAATATATTATCCAAATCGTCTATAACCAATTTAGGAACTAAAGTAGTATCGACTGTTGATGCTGTTGCTAATGCTGTAGAAGTATTATTTTCATTGTGATTATTATTATTTATTGTTGTCGTCATTTTATTTTTTTTCGTTATTTAATAAAATTAAAAACGGTTAGTTTAAATTTTATAAAAAAAAAAAAACTATAACAACAACAATCAAATAATGCTATTAGATATATGGATATTATTATTTATGCAAATTTTTATAACCAGTTTTTTAAAAAAATAAAAAAATTAATGAAAAAATATATTTTATGGAAAGAAAAAGCACAAAACTTTTTTTTTTTTTTTTTTTTTTTAAAATTTTATTTTTATTTTTTTTATATTTTTATTTTTTCATATTTATAATTTTTTTTTTAAATTTGGTAATTTATTATTATTTTCTAACAATATAACAAAACATCAGAATATATAGGTTTTTTGATCCGTGTTTCATATTATTATAAAAATTGATATTTTTATTTTAAATGGTGCTTAATTTTTTTTTTTTTTCTTTTAAAATATATATATAATATCCTTATATAATATAAAAAAAATATAATGGTTCATAATTTATTTAATACTAAATGTTATTTATAAACTTTATTTTTATTTTTCACAACCAAATGTGATCATCATTATTTAATTATTAAAAAAAATAAAAAATAAAAAAAATTTTAATAAATTAATTTTTTTATTTTTTAATTTTTTTTTAATTTTTTTTTTAATTTTTTTTTAATTTTTTTTGGTGAACATAAAAATTAAATTTTTTTTTTTTTTTTCAATTTTTTTTATTTTTATTTTATAATTTATTTCTTTCTTAAATTAATCCTTACTTAATTGTATACATATAATTTAAATAATGTCATTCGAACATATTAACTTTCCAGTTTTTGGTCAAGTTGACTATTTTGGTAAACAATCACAACAACAATTACAACCACAACAACAATATACACCAAGCCATGGTGGCAAAAAAAACACATTGTAAGACGATCATCACATTTTTATACACATACATACCATAATAAAAATATTAAATAAATCATTTGACAAAAATAAAGTATGTGCAAGGTAAACATAATATTAATATTTTTTTTTTTTTTAATTTTTAGAGACCCAATTGTAACAGGTACATCTATTATTGCAATTAAATATGATAAAGGTGTTGTTATGGGTAGTGATATGTTATTATCATATGGCTCACTTGCTAGATTCAATTCAATTCAAAGAATGACCAAGTTTGGTGGCAACACCATTATTGGTGCCAGTGGCGAATATAGTGATTTCCAATCAATCACAACCACTCTTAATGAATTAGTGTAAAGTATCATATATTTATCTATACCTATTAAAAAATCTATTTAAATAATCGATATTAACTTTTTTATTCATTATCATCAATAAAAAAAAATAAAAAAATTATAATTTCAAAATACAGTACTGACGATCATTGTATGGATGATGGTTCAAGATTAAGCCCAGAAGAAATTTGGAATTATTTAGCTCGTATTTTATATAATCAAAGAAATAAAGGTAACCCACTTTGGAATACTTGTGTTGTTATTGGTTATCAAGGTGGTAAAAGGTATTTAAAAATAATAATCCTATCAGCTGAATTATGCTCAAATATTAATATATCTTTTTATTTTTATTAACAATCATATAGTTTCTTAGGTAAAGTTGATTTAGTTGGTACCTGCTTTAAAGAAGATATTGTTACTTGTGGCTATGGTTCACACATTGCTTTACCATTATTAAGAAAAGCAAGAGATGATAATCCAAATATGAATTTAGAACAAGCAAAGAAATTAATTGAAGATTGTTTAAGAGTACTTTTTTACAGAGATGCTAGATCATCAAAGAAAATTCAAATTGCTGTTGCTGGTGAACAAGGTATTGATATTTCAGGTCCAATCGAATTAGAAACTTATAATTGGAATAGTGGTGAAGCTGCCGTTAAAAATTTTAGCCAAGTATAAACCACCAAAATAAAATATAAATTATATTTAAAATCACACACATATAATAAATAATCATGATATAATAGTTTTTTTTTTTAAAACATAAAATACATCAACAAAATCAACAACAAAATTCATCATCATCAAAAACCACAATAACAACAACAACAAAAAAAACAACAACAAAACAAATAAACAAAAAAGTAATAATAGATTGTAGATAAAATAAAATTTTTTAAAACATTATTTTTTTATTTATTTATTTATTTTATTTATTTATTTATTCTCTTTATAATTTAATCTTATAAAATCACGAGATAATAAATCTGCTTGTCTAATTGATTCTGGTACTCTATAGGTGGTTGTTAATTTGACTAATTTTAAAGTTGTATCTAATGATAATCTGTGACCTTGAGAAACATACACTGGATTCTTGCAGGATTTATTTGATAAAATAGCGGCACCCCATACACGACCACTTTCACCCTCTAGCTTTACACAAATATCCATATCATCGTTTTTGTTATTATTATTTCCTTTTTGTTTTTGTTGTTCTAAATATGATAATCTTTCATTTTCAACTTTTTGTTTAATATCTTTGGTGTTTAGGTTATCTACATGGAAAAAAGTTTTACCAACACCAATAGTCGGTATATCAGCCAATAAACCTAAATGAGATGCTAAACCAAAACCACGTGGATGCAAAATACCATTACCGTCTATCATTAAAACTTGTGGAACTAAATGACAATTATCTTTTGATTCTTTTAACCTTTCAATCAATTTGATTAGATGTGGTACTTCACGAAATGCTAAAAAACCTGGTATATATGGTAGATTTAATTTAACAAATTCTATATCTTTATAGACAATTTTTAATGATGGGTACTCCAATACTATAAGTGCGGCACAGGCATCCTCTTGATTATCTTTAACAAAACTGATATCTACACCACCAATATACTTTAATTCTTTCTTGTGGTTTTGATTATCGCCATCACCGACACCGGGTATACTAAAATCTATTTGATCGATTTCTATTAAGCTTGTTTTTAATTCATTTTGAATGCTAAATAAAATAGCAATAAATATAAAAATTAATATTTTATTATTTAAAAATTATTTTTATTTGCCACATTGTGGTTACTTTATCCATTTTTCTTGTATTTCTTTTTCTTCAGGGGTAAGTTCTTTGGGTTTGAATTCTGTCTTTTCAACAGGAGTATTAGTATTATTGCTGTTATTATCTGACATATGGATATAGAGTATTTATAATATAAATAAATAAAAATATTAAAAAAATTAATTTAAATAATATTTTTTTTTTATTTTTTTTTTTTTTTTTTTTGTAATTTATTTTTTTTATTTTTTTTTCCCATTTTCTTTTTTTTAATTTTTTATGATTTTATATGAAACTAACTTAGTTTCATTTTATTCAAAATATAAATCACCATATAGCTCCTTAATATAGCTATGGTATTTTTCATAAATAATTTTTCTTTTTAATTTCTTTGTTGATGTCAATTCAGATTTTTCACCTTCGTCCATAAATTCGTTTGGTAAAATTTTGAATCTTTTAATTGTTTGTACTTGTGCCAAACCTTTGTTAATAACTTTAATGTTTTCTTCAATATATTTATTAAGGTCTTCATCTTTTGAGGCTTCTTCTAAAGATTCTGGTACCTTGTATGGATAGCTTTTCTTGCCTTTTAAGAATCTCAAGAAATCTAGATTAACTGTAATCAAACAAACAAGGAACTTTTGTTTATCACCAATAACAACACCTTGTTCAACACCCGGTATCAAACGGAGACTACCCTCAATCAATGATGGTGAAATATTTTCACCACCAGCAGTAATAATAATTTCTTTTTTTCTGTCAGTAATGATGAGGAAACCTTCATCATCCATTTCACCGATATCACCGGTGTGGAACCATCCTTCCGAATCTATTACCTCATTGGTTGCTTCTTGATTATTTAAATAGCCTTTGAATATAAAATCACCTCTTAATAATATTTCACCATCTTGAGCAATCTTAGATTGACCATCAATAACTCTACCACAACTTGATAATTTAGGAATTGGTATTCCCATAACACATGGTCCAGTGGTTTCAGATAAGCCATAGCAATTATAAACTCTATTGTTAAGGCTTGCAAAGAACTCCAAGGTATTGTTGGAAATTGGTGCAGCACCCGAAATACTTCTTTTAACATTTTCTAAACCGATACTCTTTAAAATCTTTTTGTATACCAAAGCATTAGCAATTTGGAATGATAGGGTTGTTTTCTCACCTTTTTCCATTCTTTTAGCGTTATCCAAACCTACTCTCATGGCCCAGTCGATTAAATATCTTTTAGCACCAGTTATTTGGGTTATTTCTGATTGAATTTTAGCTTGCATTTTTTCAAATACTCTAGGTACACCCAAAAAGTAATCTGGTCTTACATCCAACAAGGTATTTATTAACGATCCCTATAAAAATATTAGATATATTAATAAAATATAATATATACTAATTATTAATGTTTTTTTTCTTACCTTTAAAGCATTTCTATCACCAAAAGTTACTTTAATACCATAAATATTACAGGAAATTAAAGAGAACATTTGTTCAGCAATATGACTTAATGGTAGATAACTAACAACATTACCTTGATTTAATATCTCTCCAGGAACAAGGACAACATTGATACATCTTATAGATAAAGAAACTATATTTTTGTGTGAAATCATACAAGCTTTAGGCAAAGAAGTTGTACCACTAGTAAAAATCAAAGTTAAGGTATCATCAGGTTTAATTGTGGAGCATATATTATCAATAGTTTCATCACTAATATCAGTACCAAGCTCTAAGAAATCATTCCATTTATAAACTTTGAAGGGGGAACTTGAATAAATTTCGTCACTGTCATAAATAGATTCCATTAGTACTATTGTTTTACAATAAGGTATTTGGTCTTTAATTTCAAGGTATCTCTTTAATCTTTCTTCATCTTCAACAAATACAATTTCACCTTTGGAGGATCTTAAAAAATACTCGCATTGGGATGAGGACGAGGTTGTGTAGATACCACTAGGAACAAATCTAGCAATAGCAGCGCCATAGTAAGAAATTACCCACTCTGGATTATTGTAACTGTTTATATTAACACCACATCCACTGGTTAGTCCCAATGTAAGAAGAGATTTGGCACATTTATAAACATCAGTTTTAAATTCACTAAAGCTCCAAGTTTTATACTCTCCATCTCTTTTAATACTTAAAAAAATATCATCTGGTCTTATTTGGGCATTTCGGTTAATATACTCACAAGAATTTCCGTAATTGGGTATATCAAGATGCATATGTGTGTTGGAAGTAAAAATTTTTTCTCCATTAACATATTCAATTTTACCTTTATTTTTTTCTCTAATTGTCTTAAAATCCATTATTTTTTATTTTTAACTATAATTATAAATAATAATATTGAAGAATTATAATATATAAATAAATAAATAAAAATAAAAGTCTTTTAGTTTTTTTTTTTTTTTTTATTTATATTTTTATTTTTATTTTTATTTTTATTTATTTTTTGAACCTTTTTTTTTTTTTTGAATCTTTTTTTTTTTTTTTTTACATGTATATTTACATAATCAATATCAACATTTTCCTCATTTATCATAAAATTTCTATATTTATAAATAACACCATAGGTGTAATTAATAATTAAAAACTATCTCTTAAAATCTATAAAAAAATTTTTGGTAAAATTGTTGTGTGTATTTAATTTAAAGTAAATTATCTGTAATGAAAAAATAATTTGTAATGGGGGTACCAAATATTATAATAAAAACAAAGTAATTGAGGAGATAACATAGTTTATGATTTATTTATTAATTTGCACAAATAAATACCAATATGTATTGGGAATAGCTATAGGTGTATAATAATTTTTTTTTTAAAAGGATTAATTATTATTTATCCATATATCATTATATAATGATTTAAAAACTTCAAAATATTTTTGATAAATATATTTTCTTTTTAGTTTTTTTGTTGGTGTTAGTTCGGATTCTTGACCTATTTCAACAAATTCACATGGTAGTATTTTAAATCTTTTTATTGTTTGTACTCTTGCTAAATCCTTATTAACTAGATCCATTTGTTCCTTGATGTAGTTTTGTATGTTTTCATCATTGGATGCTTCAGTTAATGTGTTGGGTACATTAAATTTTATAAGGTTTTGTAATTTCATAGATTTTAAAATATCTAAATTTAGTGTTATAATAGCAACAAGGAACTTTTGTTTATCACCATAAATAACAGCATATTCAACACCAGGTATACTTCCTATTTTTTTTTCAATCATTGTTGGTGCAATATTTTCACCACCTGATGTTATAATAATTTCTTTCTTTCTATCTGTAATAAAAAGATAACCATCTTTATCCAATGTACCTACATCACCAGTGTGTAACCACCCTTCAGAATCAATTACTTCATCAGTTGCTTGTTGGTTATTGTAGTATCCTTTGAATATAAAATCACCTTTTAATAAAACTTCACCATCATTTGCAATTTTAATTTCACCATTATTTACTTTTCCACAACTTCCTAATCTAAATTCTGGTGATTCAATTACTGAGCATCCAGTGGTTTCGGATAAACCATATGTATTCCCTATTGAGATACCAATAGATTTAAAAAAGTTGTTGGTATTTTTAGATAATGGGGCACTACCTGTTGCAACAATTTTTATATTATTAAAACCAATTTTTTCATATATATTTTTGAAAACCAATTTTTCAGCAAGTTTATATTGAGATGAGGATTTTTTGTAATGTAAACCTACATTCATTGCCCAATTTATAATAAATTTTTTTAACCCAGAAGCTTTCTTAATTTCATTTTCAATTGAAGTTTGTATTTTTTCAAAAATACGAGGTACTCCACAAATAACTGATGGTTTAAATTCTTTTAAGGTGTTTATAAGAGTACCTTTTAATGCATTTCTATCACCAAAGATAACACATGATTGTGACATTAATGCAATAACAAGTGTTGTTATTTGATCTGCAATATGACTTAAAGGTAAATATGAAATAAATACATATTCCCCATAATCTGCATTTCCAACGAATAATTGAATACCATAATAACCAATAGAAACATAGTTTTTATGTGAAATCATACATAACTTGGGTTTTGATGTGGTCCCACTGGTGAAAATAAAAGAAGCCAAATCCTCATTTTTAATTGAAGCCGAAATTTCATCAATTTCTGTATCATTAATATCATTTCCAATTTCTAAAAACTCGGACCAATGGTATACTTTAAAAGGAAGTTCTGAATAATTTTTTTTTTCACCCCCCAAAGATTCCATTAAAATTATAGCTTTACATTTTGGTATGTCGTCTTTAATTTCTATATAGTTATTTAATCTATCTTCATCTTCAACAAAAACAATTTCAGAATTGGATTCATTAAAGCTTGTTTGGCATTGGGAGGGTGATGATGTGCAATAAATACCAGTGGGTAAGTACTTTGAAAAAATGCATCCAAAAAATATAAAGAACCATTCAGGATTATTATAGCTGTTTATATTAACTGATGAATATTGTGTTAATTGCATTTTTAACAATGACTTTGCGACCCTGTAAATATTTTCTTTATATTCTTTATATGTCCATTCTTCCAATTCACCATTTCTTCTTGTTTTTAAAGCTGAAGCATTTGGTGAAGTTTTAACTGCAAAATTAAGATACTCTGTTAAGATATCAAATTTTGGTACCTTATTAATAGCATTAATTTTATTAGAATGATAGTTTTCAGTTTCAAATACCATAGTTATATTTAAATTATTATATATTTTATTATTATATATATAAAAAATGTTTGAATTTTTTTTTTTAAATTTTCTAAAATAAGATAAATAATTGAAATTTAATATTTAAAAAAAACATTAGTATAAAATTTTATCATAACTTGTGTAATTATTAATAAAAATTTTATTTTATAAATTTTAAAAATTCAGATTAATAGATAAGTAGATAACAGATAAAAATATAGTACCACATTTTCTAATTTTTTTTTTTTATTAATATTTTAAAATTTTAAAAATAAAATTATAAAAAACAAACAAATAATATAGAATATAAAATAATATTATAGATAATAAAATATTAAAAAGTTTATTTAAGATTGCTTTTAAATTAATCAAAATAAAAATCACCATAAAGTTCTTTTATATAATTGTCATAGATTTTATAAACTATTTTTCTTCTTAATTTCTTTGTTGGGGTTAGTTCTGAATCTGCACTACCCTCTTTAAATCCATTTGGTAAAATTTTGAAGTTTTTGATTGTTTGTACCCTAGCTAAACCTTTATTAATTTCTGATATTTGTTCTTGAATATATTTATTGAGATCTAAATCTGTTGAAGCCTCTTCTAAAGATTCTGGTACCTTGTATGGATAGCTGTTCTTGCTCTTTAAAAATCTTAAAAATTCTAAATTTATTGTAATTAGACACACAAGGAACTTTTGTTTATCACCATAGACAACACCTTGGTCAACACCTGGTATTAAATTGAGATGACCTTCAATCAATGATGGTGCAATATTTTCACCGCCAGCAGTGATAATAATATCTTTTTTTCTATCGGTGACATAAAGGAAACCTTCATTATCTATTCTACCAATATCTCCAGTATGGAACCATCCTTCAGAGTCAATTGCTTCATTGGTTGCATCTTGATTGCCTAAATAACCTTTAAATATAAAATCACCTCTAAATAAAAGTTCTCCATCGCTTGCAACCTTAGCCTCACCTTCAACAATAAGTTTCCCAATACTTCCATATCTACCCTCTGGAGATTCTGTTGTAACTGCTCCAGTAGTTTCTGTTAAACCATAACAATTTCCAATACAAATACCGATGGATTGGAAAAAATCGATTGTTTTCTTTGAAAGGGGTGCTGCACCAGATAAATAAAGAGTGCAGTTATCTAAACCAATGGTTTTTAATAGTTTCTTAAATACTAATCTATTGACTAAACTATATGTATATGATGGATACAAGTTCCCACTTCTAATAGCTTCACCATTGGATAGACCAATCTTCATTGCTTGTCCAATTAAAAATTTTTTAAAACCTGTTAATTGGTTAATTTCAGATTGGATTTTAGCTTGCATTTTCTCCCAAATTCTTGGTACACCAAAGAAACAAGTTGGTCTAGTTTCTTTAATTGTTTCCAACAACGAACCCTGTTTTGAAGAAAATTATCAGTGTTTATACATAATTTTTTATAAATTTATAAAATGATATGATTGGGAACTTACTTTTAAAGCATTTTTATCACCAAATATAATCTGAGCACTAATGAATAATGGGAGTATAATAGATGATAGAAGGTCGGCAATGTGAGATAAAGATAGGTAGCTTATACTTGTTTTATTTTCTGTGTTTGGCTCTGGGAAGAATGTATTGATTTCTGAAAGGCCTGCACATATACAGTTCCTGTGAGTTAATAAACATGCTTTTGGATTTGATGTTGTTCCGCTGGAGAATACAATGGTGGCAATATCTTGATCTGAAATGGTTGAAGAAATATCATTTACTTCACTATCTGGAATGTCACTACCAAGTTCCAAAAACTCTTTCCAATTATAAACTTTAAAAGGTAGCGCTGAATAGTCAACTTCATCTGAAGAAGGCTCCATAATTACAATTGCTTTACATTTTGGAATGTCGTCCTTTATTTCAATATATTTCTTTAGCTTTTCTTCGTCTTCTACGAATACCATTTCTGCCAAAGAGGTGTTGAATAGATACTGGCATTGTGATGGAGATAAAGTGGTATATACACCGCATGGTGGGGTTTTTATGTGAACACATGCCAAAAATGTAATTGTCCATTCTGGACTGTTATAGCAGTTGATATTAACTGAGCTCCCTTGTCCCAAACCCATTTTCAAGATTGACTTTGCAACTTTAAAAACATCTTCTTTATATTGGATATATGTCCATTCATCTAAAATTCCATTTCTTCTGATTCTCAAAGCTTTTTTGTTTGGTGTCTTTGTGTAGGCATCTTGAAAATACTTGACGATTGAGTTGTAAACTGGGTATCTATTTTGTTTTCTTTCATTTTTTATATAGTTATTTTTATCTATTTCTGAACTCATTTTTATTTTTTGAAAAATTAAAAATAAGAATAAATATTTTTTTATTTTATTTCTATTTTTATTTTTATTTTTATTTTTTGTATAATATTATAATTAAAGTTACATTGCATTTTTTCGATTCTTTTAAACCATTTTTTAAAACAACCTTATTAACCATTATACAAAAACAAATAATTATTTGATTAATATTTTTAAAAATAATGAATTATAAATTATTTTTTTATAGATTAACTATTCAAATTATTAAATTTTTTTTTTAGTGTGTGTATGGAGCCAACACCTATATTAAGGGTTTGATTTTTTATTTTTTTTTAAAATTTTTGTGTGGGAGTGTTTTAGTGGACGGGTGTTTATTTTTAATTATTAACATATTTATTTTTAATTATTAACATATAATATATATAAATAAAAATTAATATTGTTTAAATTTATATTATTATTTTATCAATTTTATTATTATTTTAAATATAAATAAAATACATTAATTGTTACTATTTTTTATAATATTTAAATGTAATAAAAAATGGTTTTTGCGATAGGTAAAATAAAGTATAAACTAATTATTATAGTTTTGGTATTGATTGGTAAGAAACATTATTATTTTTAAAGCAATTATTTATTGTTTATCGATCTTTTTACGTATATTTGTGATATCGATATTGTTTTTGATGTTATTATATTGTGCTATATTATTATTATTATAACTATTATTATTATTATTATTATGTTGCTATTTGTACTAATATATTTTCTTTTAAATATTATAGAAATAATTAATGCTGAATATTTTATATTTGACGGTAAACCTAATGATTTTAAAATATGTGAAATAAATAAGCCTGCAAGCTTTAATATATCATTAAATAATGATTTCTTTCAAATATCAAATATTACTTTAAAATACTTATTGGTTAATAATTCAAATGGACATTACTATTTTGACCCCAAACTATAAAGACCAAAACAATAATAACAACCTCTATATTGATGAACTAATATATTATCTTTTATACCAATACCAGTATAACTTATCACCAAAACCAAATTTAAAGTGTGCAGAATTTCTATCCACCTATTTGTGTACCTATACTTTTGTTGAAGGTAGTTATTATTATTATTATTATTATTATTATTATTATTATTACTACTACTATTATTATTATTGTTAATTATTAATACCCCTAATTTTTTTAAAAAAAAATAGTTAATAAAAAACCCTGCAATGATATATGTGAAGCTGTTATAAATAAATGTTCTAAAGAATTAATAATTACCAATTTTCAAGTTATCCCCAACCAAAGAGAATGTGAAAGTAATGGAACATTAGCAGAAAAGTCAGTTCAAGAGGGAAAAGAATGTAGTTTAATTAGTTTAATATCATCAAAATCTTTAGAAAGTTGGTGGACTGATCAATCTATCAATTTGAATGATGTTGATGACTATATTAAATACCCGGGTGGTGTGGTACGTGGCTCTGTATTGGGATTTGGTGTATTATTAGCAATATTATTAATTATTGGAAGTTTACATTTTGTAATGAAATATCAAGATAAAATAGTATAGACTCAAAAACAAAACTCCTTTTATTTTATTGTATTTTTAATGCTAAAATAAAAAATAAAAAAAATAAAAAAAAAAAATATTTTTTTTTTTTTTTTTTAATTAAAATAAATAAAAAAAAACTGAAAATTAATAGAATTTTAATCTTAAATTGTAATTTAGAATGTTGCTCTAAAAACCCATTTTACATAATTATCTAATCAAAAACCATTTTTTTTTTATTTTTTTTTTTATTTTTTTTTTATTTTTTTTTTAATTTTAGACCTCTTTTATTTTTTTTTTTTTTTAATTTTTAAAATTTTTTTTTTTTTTAACTCATTTAACCTAACCACCTCACAACATATAATAATAAATTTTTATTTTATTATTACCACCAATATTTATATAAATACTTTTTTCATAGAATAATAAATAAATAATTAATATTTAAAAATAATTAATTATTTTATTTATTATGAATCGTAAAAGAAGGAAATTATAAATTTTATTTTTATAAATATACACATAAATAAATACACATTTTTAAATTATACTTTTTTCTTTCTTTTTTTTTTATCCCCAATTTTTTTTCTCTTTCTTTTTTTTCTTTTTTTCTTTTTTCTCTTTTTTTTTTTAAATTGCACCTTTTTTTTAATCATCAAACAAAATGGTATTTTCAAGATTTCCAAAAATTCAAAGAAACTTACCTTTAATCAATCTTTTTATTGCATGTTCTGCACTTGGTTTTCAAGTAATGGTTTTATATCCTTGGCATCTACAAATTGATGAAAGTCATCATAGACTCATTAAAAGATTTAATGACCTCTCTAAAGATATGACAACTTTGCAAAAGGAACAAGAGCTTGTCCAGTTTCAATCAACAAATGCAAAAGTACAAGCAGGAACTTTACCAAACAATGCTTTTTCTGAAACCAGTAAAACAGTTTTAAGTCCCTCAAGTAACATTGCCAATTAAAACCAATTTTTGTTTTAAACAAAAATAACAATAAAATAATTAACATAGAATAACCAAAATAATAAAAATATAAAAATAAAAATAAAGTATCATCACTAGGTTTATAAATTAAAATATTTTTTTCTTTTTATTTATTTTAATTTTTTTTTTTTGTATTGTTAACAATAGTTTTAAAAAATAACAATAGAGTTTGGGTGATTGTTAGTAACTATAACTTTTATTTTAATCCCAAAAGACCGTTACCGCCTAAAAGACCACCAACGACTCCGGTAAGAAGAACATCTACAGTGTATACAACACCTTCAACAGTTTTAGCTACTGGTATCAAAATTTCAGAAACGAGTGCAGCTTGGTTTGGGTTATATTGTGATGACAAAGCACTGTTGTTTAAAGCAGAAGATCTTTTTGAACCATTGATGCTACCTAATGATGAAATGGAGTCTAAATATGATAAAAGATAATAAAATTAGTTTTTAGTTTAGTATTGATAAAATAATAAAAGATTCTATACAAACTTAAAATTGTCATTTTTTTATTGTTAAGCTTTAAATATCTTTTTAATTTGATGATATGATTTTTATTTTTTTATTTTAAAATACATCTATTTATACTTTTAATTGTTTTAATTAATTGTTTAATTGTTTAATTGTTTAATTGTTTTTTTAATAAAGACAAATTTATTATATTTTCATATTATAAATTTGTAAATGATTAAATAAAAAAGTGTAGAATGATAGTTAAAATAAAGAATGATTAAACGTTGGTTTAAAATTTACTCGTTTTAAACAAATCAAATTAATTTTTTGTTATATTTACTTTAAAATATTCAAATAAATTTAATAATATTACACCCACTTTCAAAATTATAACCACCCCCACCATAATATTAATTTTTTTTTTAATTAATTAAAATTTTTTATAAATATAAAATTCTATTTTTAAAATTGTCCATGCATGTACGAAAAAATAATTAATTAATTATATTTTAAAATATAAATAATATAAATTATAATAATTATTTTTTTTAAAAAAATGTGTAGTAATTTATATATCTTTGGTTTTTGAAAATGAGATATAAAATTATTTTTTTTTATTGAACAATTTTAAAATAATAAAAAATAAAATAATTTAAAAGATAAAAATAAAATAATTATGTTATTAAAATATGAAAATTAATTATTTTATTGACATGAAAAATCATAGAATTACACATAAATAATTGAAAACACTTAAATGAGATATATACAGATTCTAATGAAGTTTAAAGAAAATATCAAATTCATTATTTAAAATGACTATTGTTAATTAATTTCCTTTTTTGTTTAAAGATAAAAGTTATATGTAAAAATATACAAATCATCCCATTGTAATAAAAATACATTAAAAAGAACGAAAGAAAAAAAAACAATAAAAAAAACCACCCCAACAGTGAATGTGTGTGTGTGTTTTAAATTAAAATTTCAATTGTTATTTTTTTTTTCAAACATTCATTTTGTTAATGAATTATTAATATTAACACATTTGTTTAAAGAAAAAAAATGGGTTTGTGACCAACCAATATGAAATTAAAATTGTCAACTTTTTTTGTAAAATAATTTTATAAATAAAATAAATGATATTTTCATTTGGTTATTGTGTTATGTAAACTCCTCTTTTTACCGTGGGTGTTGTTATCAACCATTTTTTTTTTTTTTTTTTTTTTCTTTAGCATGTCTAAAATTAACTTTTTTTAATTTATGTATATTTTTAACTTTGTTTTTAATTAATATTCATATAAAAAAAAATAAAAAATAAAAGATTTATATTTTTTTTTGGTTTTTGTCAACTGCTATTTTTAATTTTTCAATTTAAAAAAAAAAAAAGTTATGAAAATCTTTTTAACCAATGAAAATTTAATTTCAAATCATGATTTAATATAAAATGATATTTAATATTTTTTTTTATTAATTTTATTTTATTTTATTTTATCACAAAAAAAAAAAAAATATAAAGTTATTTTTTTATTATAAAATTATTTCAAATCAAAAATATATTTTTTAAAATAATATTCACAATAATAAACTATTATACAATTAATTTTCATTTTACTTTGTATTTTACAATTTACATGCATTAATTACCTTTAATTTTTGACTTTCAAATTAAATAATAAACACTTTGGTATAAAAAAAAAAAAAAAAAAAAAACTATATAATAATTTTTTTTATTTATATAAAGCAAAATTTAAATATAATAAAATGAAATTCTTAATATTTTTAATATTAATAATTTATTTTATTAATAGTATAAATTGTGATAATACAAAACCATGTAAATATTTAAAGAATTAATTTATTTTTGTTTTTTATTATAATAATAATTAACCCCTTATTTTTTATCTTTTAATTTTATTAGCAACCCTTTTATTACAATTACAAATCTTTGATCATTTACCAAGTTTGAATAGTGATTTCGAACCATCAAATGGTCAAGTAACAAAAGGTATTGTTAAAAAAAAATTAGTTGGAACCATCCCAGAACTGGTTTCTCTTGATCCAGGATACCTACCAAATATAAATGGAAAAATCAGCAATCCACAACTATTCAAAACTTGGTTTAATAAGAATGATTCCCAAAATGTATTTTTACAAGGGAATATTCAACTTTCCTACGATAATAATTTAGGTGTCTATTCCTATAAAAATAATAATTTCTTCCCAATTGATGATATGGGTTTTGATACTGATCCAAACAATAAAGTGTATATTGGTGGTTCTAAAAAACCATTTGTTTACCATAATTTTCATTGTAAGTATAATTTATAAAAAAGAAAGAAAAAAAATATAAATATTAATTATATTTTATTTTATTTTAGTCTGTTTAAAAATAACATCTAAATTTACCTATCAAGGTGTTGAAAGTTTTTCATTTGAAGGTGATGACGATGTTTGGGTATTTATTGACAAAACATTGGTTTTAGATTTGGGCGGTTTGCATCCAGCTCAAGCTGGTACTGTTAACTTGAAACAGATTGGACTAGTAGTTGGTCAAACCTATGATTTCGATTTCTTTTATTGCGAAAGACACACACCATATAGTGACATGAAAATCCAAACTGATTTAGAAATTGTTTGTAGTTATACAGATTATTGTGGTGGTATGTTTATTTAAACTGTGCATATATTGGTATAATTATTTTCGTTACTAATACTATATCATTATTTATTATTATTATATTATAGTTTGCCAAGGTGATGGATCAACATGTTGTAATGATGATATGTGTGATGATGGTAATGCTTGCACCAATGACAAATGCCCATTACCAAATACTGTAGTTCCAAAGGGTAGTAAATTTACAGATTTTTGTCAACATATACCAACAGTTTGTAATATTCAAGATAGATGCTATAATATTGGTTGTGCTTCAAATAATGGTTCCTGTATTAGAATGTCACCAATACCCTGTAAAGATGAAAGTGATCAATGCCTTGTTCCAACTAGTTGTAACTCTAAAACAGGATGTTTCTATAAATCCACCTGTTTAAATAATCCTTGCTTTACTGGTGCCTGTGATAAAGGTACTTGTGTTGAAAAAGATGCCAAATATTGCGCTAATGAGTTGGGTAATGATCCATGTAGAATCTATAGCTGTAATACAACACAAGGTTGTATGTCTAAACCAAAATGTGAAAAGCAAACTGATGATCCATGTACTTTAACCACCTGTGATGTCGACGGAACATGTGGCCAACTTAAATTAAATGCTACTGCTTGCAATTGTGGTTGCAAACTAAACAAATGCCAGATCAACAATTGTGATATTTCGCGATCACCATCGGTCTGTAATGCATTACCAAGACCAGAAATTGACGATGGAAACCCATGCACAATCGATGAGTGTGATCCAGTAACTGGTAAAATTACCCATAATAAAATGCCTTGTGATGGCTGTAGTACTTGCAAAGGAGGAACATGTGTTGCTATCGATTCAAGTTGCAACGATGGAAATCTATGTACCAGCGATATGTGTAGTATGAATGGTACCACTAATAATGGAAGTTGTATACACATAAATATAACCTGTAAACCAAATGCTGACCTATGTATCAATACAGTCTGTCACCCATCTCTAGGTTGTGTCGATGAACCAATAGTTTGCCCAGATGAAGGATTGTGTCAAGTTGGGTATTGCAATCAAGGAAAATGTCTATTAAAACCAAGAGTTTGTGAAAATAAAGCTTTTTGTTTGAATGTTGAATGCAATGAAAATACCGGATGCATCTATTATAATAAGACCTGTGTTCCAAACTCACCAAAATGTCAAAAAGGTGTATGCTATAATGCCACTGAAACTGAACCTGGTAAATGTGTTTCGGTAGATTATGACCCAAAACCATTCATTTGTAAACCTGCCGCAATTATATCCACCTCTGTAATAGTTGGTGTTTCGATCGCTGGTGCTGTTGTTGCTATCGCTTTGGCTGTTGGTGGTAAAAAAGGATATGATTATTGGAAATCAACACAAGGACAACCAATTACATCTGCTATAAGTAATCCATTGTATACCTCTTCCCAAAACTCTGCTTTAAATCCATTATATAATGAATAAAAATAAAGTATAAATAAATATTATTTATAAAAATACATTTAAAAATAAAATATATAAAATTAAAAATTAAAAATAAGTTGGTTGTACCAAATTTTTCAAATAATCAAAAAAAAATAATTATTTTTAAAATTATTTATTAAATTTTAAAATAATTTTTTTTTTTTTTTTTTTTTTTTTTTTTAAAAATTATCAGATATTTTTATTATTTTTTTTTTTTTCAAATATTTATCAAACTGCTATATTTATAAAATTAATTGTCTAAAATGGCTGATTATAATGTTGTTGTAAGGATTATTTTATGACATTTTATTAATTTACTTTTTTAAAAATGACACTAATTGTTTTTGTTTTTGTTTTTGTTTTAAAAATAGATTAAATTACCAAATGGAGGTGTTGTTAAACCATTACTTAATGAAAGTGTTACTGTTAAACAATTAAAAGATATTATCAAACAATCAATCCCAGGTGCTACAGATTCCAATATCATTGTATCCCTTTCACAAAATCCAGCAGATTTAACAAAGAGAATTTCAGCAATTGGTTTCACCAAATATTTAACAATTGATGCTGTCAAAAAGGCATATCCAATGGGTTTTATTAATAACTCTTCAATCGAATTTAATGATGGCAGCGATTCAATGATTATGAAATTATATGTTTCATTAAAATAATCAAAAATAGTAATAACAACAATAAAAAAAAAAATACCTTGTAATTTTAAAAAAAAACTAAAATAAATCTATTTATTATTATTTTGATCACTTTTCCAATTATTTTATTTTAAAATTATTTGTTTTTTCTGAAAAAATAATAATTTTTTTAAAATTAAAATTTTTTTTTTTTTTCTCATTTTTTACAATTTAAAATTTTAAAAAATCATTTATCACATTCAGAATGTATAAGTAATAAATAAAAGACAATGGATATTCTTTTATTAATAATATGTTTAGTATTGGGTTTTTCTTTGTGGTTAGTTGTGGAGGTAAAAACTTTTAATATCAATTTTACAAATAAATTATCAAGTCATAGATTATAATACTAACAATATTTAAATTCAAAAAAAGAAAATAATATTTTATATAGAAAATAAAAATAATAACAATAATAGTAATAATAAAGAGAAAAAAATAATTTTACCACAAGGTTTAAACTTTTTTACATGGTTTTTTAATTATTTATTAAATTATTATAACCTGAAACCAACATCGTCAATTGTAAATAATAAAAAGAGTGATGGAGAAATCAATGAGCTTAAAGAGGACACAAGTGAAAACACAGTTTTAAAATGGTTTAATGTATTTAACACATCAACTTATTGCGTATCATTTTTTGGTAGGCCAATGATATTTACAAAAGATATCAATATAGCAAGATACATATTATCAAATGTCACTGATTACCAAAAACCTCCAGATTCATCAGGAGTTTTAATTAGATTAGCAAGTAATAGTATTCTAATGTCAGAAGGAAAAGAATGGAAGCACCATAGAGACATATTAGAGCAACCGTTTTCCTCAAGAAATGTTAAATTGATGGTTCCAACAATCGAATCTACAGTGGAGCAATTAATAAATCAAATTAATTTAGGCAACAAACAGGTTAATAGTGGAGATGAATTCAGAATTGATATCCACAGTACAATGACCAAATTAACATTTGATATTATAGGAAAGTTATCAATAGGTTATGATTTCAAAAGTATAAATAATAGCAATAATAAAGAATCCGAAAATGTTTCAAAACAATTTGATTTCATTTTAAACGAAATGATTAGACCAATTAGAAGATTTTCGAAATATTTGCCGCTATTTAATGATATCAAGCTTTTTAGATACTTGGCAAATTTTGAAACCGTTACAAAAAATGCTATTAAATCAAGACTATCGGTAATAAGCAATCCTGACGGAGAAATTTCAGGTAATAGCAGCACATATAAAACAAACTATTTATTAGATCCATTAATCAAATCAAATATTAATGAAAAAGAAGTAAGTAAAAAATTTTCATAAACTATATAATCTTATGTTTAATATTAATATTTTTATAATTTAGATAATAGGAAATATAAATACTTTTTTATTAGCAGGTCATGAAACATCAGCAAATTTATTAACATTTATATTTTATTTATTATCAACACATGAAAATATTCAAGATCAACTATATAAAGAATTAAAACAGATGTCCAGTGAAAATATTGAAAAATGCGAGTTTTTAGATTTCGTTATTTATGAAACATTGAGACTATTCCCACCAGCACCAATGATTGGTAGAAATTCAACAAAAGAAGTTGATGAATTGCACGGACAGCTCAAACAACTTTTTAGAATACCCAAAGATACATTAATTTTATTTTCAGTTTATGCAATCAACAGAGACCCATTAGTATTTGAAAACCCAAATCAATTCATTCCATCACGTTGGGCAACAATGGAAGATAGATTTATTTTCCAACACATATCATTCTCAATGGGTAAAAGAGTGTGTATTGGTATGAATTTCAGTTTAGTAGAAGCACGTATCATCATATCAAAACTATTATTAAATTATAGAATAGAATATAAACCAATTAAAAACCTTGATAAGCCATTCACAATTTACCAAAGAGCAACATTAACAACAAAATATCCAATTAATTTAAATTTTATAAAAAGATAATTTAATAAAAAACAACTTGTTATTTATTTATTTATTTCTTTTTCTCTTTATTTTATTTTTTTTATAGTACAGTATTTCTTCTATTATATTTTAAGGTTATAAATACAATTAAACGGTAAAATATTGATATACCGATTAATACAGCTAGAGAGTGATAGATATTTACGTCAATCCAACCTAGTCGTGTCAATACTTGTTCTCCATTTGATACCGGGCATATCTTTCCTTCTCCATCTAACGATTGTTTACCAGGACATGTATACACTTCACCTTTTAATTGATTGACACTATAGACCTCTGCTGCCCATTTGGTGGGTAGTATATAGTTGAAATATCTTAAAACAGCGGGCATTTGGTCGGTTGGTCTAAAGAAACCCGCTAAAATTGTGAACATTGATAAAAATACATTTGCAAAAGTTGTGGCTAGACCTACATCATAGAATAGCGAGCATACAAACAACCCAACTGATTCCCCCGAGAATAATAATAAAAATATTACAAAACAAAACATAAAGTATTTATCCGCCTCCATTTTTAAACCCATCGAAAAGTAACACACTGCCGAGTATCCTAATGTTCCAATTACATTAAAAGGCAATTCTACAAACATATATGAAATAAAAAAGGATGATGTTGAATATAGCCCATCGTTTCTCTCTCTATAAAATAAATTTCTTTCTGTTGGAACTAATTATATTTAAAAATAAATTATAAAATTAATAATTGTTTAGTTTCAATTGAACATATATATAGATACTTACATAAGGCCACACAACTTAATAGGGCAATAAAAATTAATGATAAACTTTGATATAGGAAACCTGTCATATTTTGAATACCAGGTTGATCGTGGCCAATTCTTAAGAAGCATAGAGCCATCATGATACCAAATGAAACGATTTGCGAAACTCTAGTAATGGCTGCTGGAACATCTCTTAAATGGTTTTTGTAAGTTCTTAAAGTTAAAATAGGTACACACTTATAAAATGATTTTTTTGAACGGAGTTGTGACTTTAGGGCATATTCATTCAAAAGATCACTTAGGTTTTGATTATTTACATATTCTTTGTCAATAACAGCCCTGTCGTCATTGTTGAAATCATGGGATTGTTGATCGTCACTAATATTATTTACTGATATATTTCTATTATAATTCCTGCCTATAGAGTTACCACGACCTATAGATGTGCCACTATAACCACGTCCTAAATTTCCATTACTTGCATTTGAATTTCTACCCAAACTATTATAGATTGAATTGTTTGATTTGCTTTTCTTTAGTTTATCTAGTTCAAAATTTAAATTTAAAAAACTATTGGACGCTTCGTAGTTGATAACTAGCTTTTCTAATCTTTGGGTCGACTGCTCCTCTAATTGTTCATTTCTGTAATCTACTGAACATATATCCAAATAATGATCTGCTGGGTTTTGCAATTGTGGGCATGGATAACCTATGGATGTAAAATACTGTACCATTTCAGTACTGGGGCCGTTATATACCATTCTTCCCTTTGATAATAGGATAACCTGATCAAACATTTTAAAAATATTAACTTGAGGTTGGTGTATAGTACAAATTATAGTTCGATTTTGTTTATGAGCTATTTTTGATAAAGTTTTGATCAATTCAAATGCAATTGAACTAAAAAATAAAAAAAGAAATAATTTAATTAGTATTACTATACTATATATATTTTCTTTATATACTATATAACTATTATGCATACCTATCTAAACCAGTTGTTGGTTCATCGAGAAACAAGCATGATGGGTCGGTTAATAATTGACAACCTACTGACAAACGTCTTTTTTCACCGCCAGAACAACCGGTTCTTGTTGCACCACCGCCACCAACTCTAGTATTTGCGCAGTCTTTCAAATTTAGTTCTAAAATGATTCGCTCCACCCTTTCCTCAATTTCCTGTTTACTAATGTTGTCAGGTAGACGTAAGGAGGCTGAAAACATCAAAGTTTCCCTTACAGTTAAATTTGGTAATGGGTAATCCTTTTGCATTACATATCCTACTGCTCTTCTAATTAGATCTGGTGATGGTGTAAAATTATTAAATTGGATGTCTCCCTTAACCTTCATTTCTTTTTTGGAGTATCTACCTGAAATTGTATTTAGTAAAGTTGTTTTACCGCTACCACTACCACCTAAAATTGCTGTTAATTGGCCTGGTTTGATTATAGTGTTGACATTTCGCAATATCATCTTGTTTGGTTTCCTTTCCGCTACATTTAATCTTGACAATAGTTTATTAAAATTATCTTTTAGCTCCACATTCAGGTTATTTAAACAAATGGTGATGGGTGTAGTATTGACTCTGTTTTTGTTATCAAAATAATCATTAATTTCAATTTCGCTAGAACCAAATGCTGGAATTGGTACCATTAGATTTTGTTGTTGCTGTTGTTGCTGTTGTTGCTGAGAAGATATTGATAAAGGAGATGATATATTACTTCCACTACTACAACTGCCAATATTATTACTAAAATGTAATGGTGAGTTTGGTATGCTGTTACTACTGGTTATATCTAAATTATTACTACTATATGGATGGTTAGGTGTTGATGAAGCTGATGCATCTGGTATTTTTAATTCTGTTAATTCCGATGTATTGGTATTGGTGTCATTATTCTCGCTTTGTAAATTATTATTACTTGTACTATTTTCCATTTACTACATTAAATTGTTATTTTTTTATTTTTTTTATTTATATAATTTTAAAATTTTATAATTTTATATTTTTTATATTTTTTTTGATAAAAAAAAACAATAATTTTTAAAAAAAGGTAAAAAAAATATTTGTAAAAATGCAAAAAAAAAGTAATTTAAAAAAAATAATTTAAAAATAGAAAAAAAAAAAAAAAAAAAAAAAAATTAATTATTAAATATTAATAAATAGATTGCAACAGCTTTGAAAAAATAATAAAAAGAAAAATTGAGATCTATTAGAAAATTTTTTTAAATATTAGAAACCACTTTATTACTATTTTAAACATCTTGAGAATTAATGTTTTTGAGGTTGTTGATATAATGGGCGACAATAGCCCTTGATTCTAATTTCCTGATGTTTAAAATTTGTTGTGGGGCTTGTTGGTGTGAAAAGGATAATTATAAAATAGAGCCCATGATACAGGGTTAAAATATCTATTAATATTGTCGGTAAATAGTTGAGTGAAATGGTTTTCATAAAAATTTGAATAAGCTGTACATGTTTATAATTTTTATATTTTGAAAAGAAAAATTAATGTTCATCGGTTTTGTTTGATTTTATTTTTTTTGTTGGATTATAATTTTAAAACCTATTTAGGAATGGACGACTAAAGAACATGTGAGAAACATTGCAATTATTTGGAATATTATCGAAAGATATAAAATTGATTGTTTTAGTATTATTAGTATTAAAACTATTATTACTATTATTATTATTAACAATCGTTTTGTTTGATTTTTTATGGTTGGTTATCAAAGCTAATGAATCTAAAATAATTTAATTAACATTTAATTTTTTTTGTTTTTTTTTTAAAAAATACTATTTTTATATTTACTTACTAAATAACATTTTTATTTTTGTTGTTTGGAATAATAATAAAAAAAAAAAAGTTTTTAAATAAATTTTTGAATATTAACAAAAAAAATTAAACAAAATAATAAAACAATAAATTAAAAAATTAAAAATAGTTTTATGTAATGATTCTATAAAGGAATGACATCAAACCCCATAATTGAATGATATACGATTATTATTAAAAAAATAATATATCATCATTTTAAAAACAACCCACAATATTCCAAAAATAAATAGAGATTAAAATATTTTACTGTTTTTTTTAATATTATTGTAATTGGATAATGTTGCAATCCAACTCTATAAAAACTAATTACTACTCTATTTATAAATTTATTAATAAATGAACCTATTCCTAATACAAAAAATAAAAAAATTTTTAAAAAAAAAAATAAAATAAAAATAATTTTTTTTTTTTTTTTTTTTAATTTTAAAATTTTTAAAAATTTTTTTTCATAAATTTTTTTAAATTAATTAGAGATATACCTCCAAAATTATTTGTTTTTTTCTTTTTTTTTTTTTATATATTTTTTTTGTACATTATATATATATATTAAATTAAAAGATGAGCACATCCGAAGATACTCAAACCGAAACAAATAATGAACAAAATATATATACTAAAATGGATAATGTCGAATCAACTGCAAATAGCGAAAAAGAAATAAATAACAATAATAATAATAATACAGAAAATGATAATAACAAAGATAAAGAATTTATAGATATAGATAAAGATAGTAATGATAATGATAATAATAATGAAAATAAAGAAGATAAAGAAATGATGGATTTAGAAAATGAAAATAATACAGATAAAGAAGAAGATAAAATAAATAATAAAATTACAGTTGATAAAATGTCATCAATTTCAAAGAATTCTCTAACAAGTGAACCAACAGAAATAAATGGATATGTTAATCCAGGAATTGTAAATAACACAACAAATATAGATATTACTCAAACCAATCTTGATGAGCCAAGAGACGCAAGAGTTATTAAATCAATTTTAAAGACAATGGGTGTGCAAGCTCATGACCCTAGAGTTGTCAATCAGCTTTTAGAATTTATGTATAGTAAGTAACAAGAGATATTTACAAGAACTTTCAAAAGTCAAGCAGTATATTAATAAACTTGTTTTCTATATAAACTAGAATATGTTTTTGAAGTTTTACAAGACTCGATTGTTTATAGCGAACACTCTGGAAAAACAGATATCGATGTTTCGGATGTTAGACTTTCAATTCAATCAAGAGTAAACTATCAAATTACAACACCACCACCAAGAGAACTACTATCATCAATTGCAGACGAAAAGAATAAAACACCATTACCACAAATTCCAAATAGATTTGGTGTATTTTTACCAGCAGACGAATATTGTCTAACTAGTCCAAACTATCAAGTTAATCCACCAAAACCTGCACCACAACCTGTTCAACCATTAGTTGGCAATACCCAGCGTGGTAATTATAATAAAAAACAAGCAGAAAAACAGATCCCAATTAAATTTTCAAATGGTACTGGTAGCGCAACAATAGTTTCTCCACCAAATTTAGGCTCAAATACAACAACCACTGCACCACCCCCAATTCTACCATTATCAAACGTTAAACCACCTGCAATTGCTAAACCAACTTTATCAATGCCACCAACTTTATCATCTTCACAAACTAAAACCACTGCTCCACCAATTATAGGTTTAGGTAATAGTAATAAACCCTCAACAACCATCGCTCCACCAACTTTATCAATGCCTCCTACTTTATCATCACCAACAACAGCAGGAACAACCACAATCACTTCACCACCAACCATACCAAACATTGGTGGCACCTCTTCCTCAACTAAAGATACTAAAATGGATGATTTTGACGATTTTGATAGCGAAATGAAAGACGAACCCTCAACCTCCAATTTTACATCATTACCAAATACCACTACTCCTCCTCCAACATCAGAGTCGTCAACTGTACCATCAGATATCAATCCAAATACCCCACAATCAACGACCCCAAAAGAAGAAAATAACGAAGAAAAAACTAGTTAAGATTTCAGTATGCATACACATATTTAAATAAAAAAATAAGGAAATTTATTTAATTTTTTTTTTAATTAAAAAACTCTTTTAACTTTAATTTTATTTAATATTTTAGTTTTATTTACATTTTTTTTATTTATAATAATTAAATTTTAGAATCTACAAACTTTTTTTTTTTTTTTTAAAGAATGATTTTTACATTTGCGTATAAATTTAATAAATAAGTTGATTTTGAAGAGGAAACGAAAGGATTTTATATGAGTGATTAAATAAATAGGTTGTTTTTATAATATTAAAATTTAATTTTATATATATAGATTGTTTAAATTTTAAATATTTCTATTTGTCTTGTTTTTTTTTTTTCTTTTTTTTTAAATCTATTTAAAATAAAATAGATGTTGATTGCGATTATATATATGGGTGTTATTTTTTTTTTTTTAGAATGTACAATTTAAAATTGATTTCATTTGATTAATTTTTTCATCACTATTAGTTTGCTTTTTTATATTATTATTATTGTTATTATTAATTATATTGTTGTTGTTTGAAACTAAAGGAGTTGGTAATTGGATTGAAGGTTGTTGTGATAAAGAAAAGTTTGATAATGTTGTTAAAGCGGAAAAAGTGAAACTTGAGTCGTGGCTGATATTTAATTGTCCACAACTAGTTGGGGAAGAATTTGAGAGTGGAGATGATGGGATATCATCGGATGAATGATAATTGCTTGATGGTGAGGAAAGATCGTAATCAATAGTGCTATCGTGTAAATCTTCGTGTGAGTGCGATGTAGTTAATCTATTATGTTTTAAAGATGCATTGGTTAACGAAGACAAAGCAGAGTGTGATGAATAGGAGTGATGTAATTGATTCGATAAACTATTTGATTGTGGCGATTTTAAGTTTGTAAGTGATAATGATTTTGGTGATGACATAATCCAAGCAATTTCAGATGGTGAGGTGGTTGGGGTGGTTTGTGATGAGTTTAATGGAGTTGGGGTTGGTGTTGGTGAAGATGATTGAGATGGTGCAGCATTTGATTTTTCGTTCTTTGGGATATATGGGAAATAATTGATAAAATCGTCTGTTTGGTTACCTTCTGGTTCATCAATTTTTAAAGCTTCAAATTGTTTTGAGTTTACATATTTCCATGGATTACATTGGAGTTTAAGTTGCCAGTAACCATTACATCTGAGAGTATGTCTACCTGATCTAAAGAATCGAGAGTGTGAAAGAGCATCTTGAACTTGACGTCTCCAGTTGTGTGATTGTTTTTGATTTGGTGAAAGAATTTCCCAATGATCATTTAAATATACATAAACTTCTTTTTTAAGATTGAAAAATTCTTTGTCTGGGTATAATTGTGATAATGAAAAGAATACAACTCTTAATATTAATGTCCAAGAAGGATGGTTCATACATAAACAACGAGGAGTACCATTAACACATAACATGCATCTCTGATTTAAACAACTTGTTTTCCATTTTGGTTGTATTAAAAAACTATTTGAATTATTTATATTATTATTATTATTTATATTTATATTTGGGTTACCATTTGGTATTATTGCTGATATATTTAATTTTTTATTTAATGATGGTGATTTTATATGAGTATTGATAGCACTTGCTGCTCCATTCGATGTCATTGATGAATTCATTTCGTCAAATTGCGAAATTTCGTCAAAAGGATGTTGTGGGTATTGTGGATTATTATTGATATTTTTATTATAAGAATATTGATTGTTATTATTATTATTATTGTTATAATATGAATATTGTTGAGTATTTAATTTTTTTAATGGTCTATCATTGCTATTATTATTACTATTATTTATGTAGATTGGTGCATTTTGTGAAAGAACTTCCATTTTATAATTTTTAATTTACTATTATTTTTTTAAAAAAAGAAAAATTTATTAGTAAAAAATTTAGATAAATAAAAAATAAAAAAAACTTTGTGGAAAAGAATTATTTTATAAAGAGTAATCTATAAATAATTGTATAATGTGTGTTATTGAAACAATGGAAAAGAAAATAAAAAGAAAACGAATTATTTAATTAAATAAATATGAAAAAAGATAAATAAACAAAAAATTTAATATTAATTTCCAAATGAAAGTGTTAATTTTTCAAAAGGGTTTTTCTATTTAAACCTCGATTATATAACCCAATTAAATAGTGAAAGAGGGTAATAGAATAGAAGTTAAAAACTTCTTTACGAATTTAAGATTAAATGTTTTTTTTTTTTTTTTTGTTATTTGTTTGAATAAAAAATGAGCATGTGGGTTTTGGTGTGGAATTATAATTAAGTATGAGTTTGTGGGGTGTATGACGAAATAAATCTACAGTAAAAATAAAATTCTTTACATTTAAAATATCAATGTGGTATGTGTGGTGTGTATAAAAAATCAAAAATATTTTATTGCTCTTTATTTTGGTTATAAATATGTATAGATTTAATTTTTGTTAAATGTATATAGTTACAGATTATGAATATTTGTATATATGTATAATAAATTAATTTTTTAATTAATATATAAAAAAAAAAAAAAAAAACACCACAAATTAATTTTAAAACAATACATATTAAAAAAGTCAATTAAAGCAGAAAAACAAAAATTTTAAAGGAAAAAAAAAAAATAAAAAAATAAAAAAAAAACAATATTGTGTGTGGTTATTTGTGATAGTTTTTAAGATTTATAAAATTTGATAAATTATAAATAAATATAAAAAAAAATTGAATAAGGGTGTTGTATCAAATTTTTACTAATTTTGTGTTTAGTAATTATTAGAAATGGAAATATTCGGTGGTAAATTAAAATTTAATAATAATAATAATTAATTATTTGAACATAACCCATATTGATTAATTAATTTAATATGGGTTTTGTTGTTGTTTTTGCTGCTATTTTTAAATGCTTCTTTATTTACCCTTCACCATTATTGTGTGTAATGAATTTTAGTGTGTGTTGTTGGTGGTAGAGGTGCATTTTCTTTTGTGTAAATAAGATATTTTTTATGCATGTGTCATTTTTTTTAAAATTTTATTATAATATAAGTGTTATTGGGAGTGCTTACTTGAACAATAAAACATTAAAAAAAAATAATCTTTTTTCCAATAATGTTAAGGATTATTAAATTTGAAATAATAATTTAAAAAAAAAATTTTTAAGGATAAAAATAAAAAAAAAAGTTTTTTTGTAGAGGACAAAATGGTTTGTGATTTTTTTTTTTTGTGATTTACTTTTGCAAAAATATAAAAATAAATAAAAAAAAATTTAATAAAAAAATTAAAAAATATACAAAAATAAAAAATTAATTAAAAATATATAAGAAAAAACCCAAAATTGAGATAGAAGAGAGATTGGTGTTTTTTGGAAAAAAGGGTTTTTTGTTTTAATCTAACGTTTTTTTTGATTGCTTATCATTGGACAACACCTTTTGTATTATGGTTATATTTGTGGTGGTGGTGGTTATTGGTTTGACAACAGTATTTAGGAAAAGAAAAAAGTGTAATATTAAAAAGCGTGTGGTGTGGGTTGGTTTTTTTTTTTTATGGATATTACTGATAAAAATGGTAATTAGATTTTTTTTTTTTACCCTTTTTTTTTTTTTTTTTTAATTTTTTTAATTTTTTTTTTTTTTTTTTGAAAGGTTTAAGATTTTTTTTTTACTTTTTTTCAAAGTATGGAAGCAAAAGTTGTGATTGTTTTATGATAATTAAAAATATTGGGTATAAAGAATGAATGAAAAAAAAAAATTGTAAAAAAATTTGTGTTTCTGATATGTGATTGATATAAGATTAATTCTACTTACATAATGATTTAATTTATTTGTGTGAAATTTAATTAAAACTTTAAATGATCAACTTTAAAAAATTCTGTTGTACATAAAATAAGAGAAAGAAATAAAAATAAATAAAAAAATTGATGGGTTAGAAATAATGACGAAAGGGTTATTTTAAAATAATGGAACCAAAAAAAAAAAAAAAAATTTAAAAAAAAAAAAAAAAAACCTAACGCAAAAAATATCAATCTACTTTTTTTCTTTCAAAGATTCGATTAATTAATTATTAATTAATTAATTTATGATAAACTAGTTAATGTATAAAAAAGTGTGATGGTTATGAGAAAATAAATAATGTTGAAAAAATTGGATGGATATTTGGTGATTGGTGATTAGTGTGAAATGTTAAATGGAAAGTGTGTTGTTGATAAGTGACGTTTTTAAATTAAGTTTTTAAAAACTAATAAATAAATAAATAAATAAATAAATAAATAAATAAATAAATAAATAAATAAATAAATAAAATTTTTTAAAAATAAAACATAGAGTATTATTTGAGAATTTTAGTAATAAGATTTAACAATTGTGAATAAAAAATAAATAATTTAAATATAAATTTAAAAAAGAAAAAAAAAA